ATTTAAAGAAGCTTGGTACAGTAAGGACAACGACACAATAAAAAGACATATCGACATACCCATCATATACTCACAACTAAAGAAAAAGGACAAAAATACTACAAACAACACCAAAACTATTCTATAGGATAACTGCAATAGGATAATATTCGGGACTACTACGCACACAACCAAGATGGTCTTGACCACCATAATATATTATTTTTCAACTCTCTTACCAACACTCCTCCTTACCCAAAATCTGCAGGGTTTTCCTTACCTAGGCAATGTCATTTCTCTGCCACCTCTCCCAACTCTCTTTCACGGTCTTAGGCAACACATCATCCCAATCTGTAAAACAGAGATTTTGTCGTGGTGACAAATTTGAATATCGCCTTAAAGAGAGCAATTGCCATAGCGAATGGACTGAAACCAAATAATAACCACGAAACCCTAGATAAAACCGAGAAAAAACTAAACAGAGAAAACAAAGAAAACATCAAGAGTTCGGAAAAGAACTGTTTTAGAAACTTTGCATTTAGGCAAACAACTCGTCAGTAGTCAACATTTGTTATCTGTTTGGGTGAATCAACTTGTATATATGTGATTGGTTTTGTTGATGACTCATCCAGCATGGGAGATGGGTCATTATCAAAATAAAGCCAATTTGCAAATGAACTACTTCTTAGTTTCCCTAAGTGAGAAACTAATTTTGTTTAGTTACTTTAAACAGGTCGACTAAACCGGACTGTTTCTGCTTATTGCATGCCTAGGTCATATGGTCTAAGTATTACCATGGAAATTTATGCAATTAAGGTCACCAAACATACGATAGGCCCCAGGCTTCCTGAGAGGTTAATCCGGCCCTGGTTATATATGTATCATTATGCTAGGTCTTTCATTTTCGTTGATCTATGCTCCTGCCTCGACTAGAACTTTGCTTTTCTACTCAAATAAATTTCTTCCTTTCAACTCGAGTTTCTTTTCATCCGAATTGATGACCTTTCAAGTTTGTTTAATGTAGTAAAGCGTTGCAATTTCTTGTGACATGCAAGTCTATCAACAACCGTAATTTTAGAAAATACACTCAAACTGAAACCGTGAACTTATTACTTGATAATGATAGTAGAGTTAGAATCGAAAGTCGTGAAAGAAATTATATTTGTGTCCAAATTAATTAAGAAGAAAAAGAAGCAGAATTAATTTTACTAAAGAATGCATTTGAAATACTACATTTACCGGATTGAGCATCAAAGTATTCTGTAGATGCATGTGCAGCTTGCTATATGGTGTGGTTGAAGTTGAAAATGGTACTCTTAACTCTAATGAATTCTAAAGCCGTAAATAATATTTGTATTTTTTAAGAAAAATGATGAAGGCGAGTTTAATAATTTTAATCGTGGCATTTCCAATATTTATTTCGTCTTGCAGAGGTATATAACTTTTTACAACCATGCATCTATAGTTTTTTCATAAATGGTTTTTGACGTTTTAATATCTCATTTCAATTTCAGGAACAATAATATCTCCACCTGATGGTCGAAGATTTGTATTTTTACCTGGATCTTCTCACAATATAACTTGGAGATCAAATGTTACTGGAAGCATTAATACATGGAGTTGGCGTTTTACACCTCGTGGCTCATATTCCCCTCAACAAATTGCAATATTATTTCGTATTAGTGACATACCCCTATATTCACCATCACCTTTAACATTTGAAGTTTTTAAACCTGGAACTTTGTGGCTGAAGAATGTAAATCAAAGTTACAATGGCGAATTTACATTTGTTATTTCATCTTTTCCTACTACTCCTCCATCAAAAGTAAATGTTTATATTGCTGGTAAGTTTAAATTATTTCAATCTTTCTTGTATTGTATAAATTGTTCTAAGTATTTAATGGGGGAACTTGGCCTGAATATTTTGGGGAAAAAACATTTATTACTGTTACTTGTTGTATTTAGAAATTAAACTGGTGCAGCTCAGTAAGTTAGAATAATTTTGCCAACTTGGGAATCTCATTCATATAGCTACGTTTAAAAACAATCAGAAGGGTAAAAATACAACCGCAACACTTTAAAGAAGATGATGGCTGTTTGTGGTGTTATTGATACAATAGCATATTTATAAATTGTAAAATCAACAAATATATAGCACTTAATTTGCACGAAAAATGTATACATTTAGGTAGTCGGTAATTAGGCCCTCTTTTAGTTTGAATAATTGGATTAATGAGCTTTGGCATAGATGCAGTTAGTCTATGGCACAGTTGTAAAGCTGATTTCAACTCATCAATATTTTTGAAAAGTAAGAACTGTACCGATTTCTTCACAACTGCCCAAAGTTGTGAATGGTGTTGAGATACGGTGAATTGATTGGCTAACGATTAGGGCCAAACATTGTACGCTAATTAAGTGGTATGAATACTTTACATTTAGCTCTGCCCGACTGAATTCGTTTGAAAATGCAATATTTAGCAATTATTGAAAGGGGTTGTGTGTAATATGAAGAATTATAAAGGCCTTGGTATAATTTATCTCAAAATTAAGTTCTCTTGTGACAGAAAATTACATTAATTGTAATGAAATGTTCTTCTGATTCATGCAGGTTTTTTACTTCGCGACTTGTTGAGTGATCTATGTTTTGTATATGAGAAAAGAGAGATTTAAAGTGACTCGTTTTAAAACACACGTAGGCTCAAATTGATAACTTTATCCAACTCTTTTTCTGTCTTCCAGACCTAACGTGTGGCTCCTAAATAAATATGGCAACGAAGTAAATGAATTTTGAGTCTAAGCCCAAATTAACACAAAGATGTTATTTATAGTCACAGCATATTTTCCCATATTTTAAAGTGTTGCTCTCCTTATGTGTTACCAGATAAATTTGACTGTGCTTATCAAAACGGACTAATGACAACATATTTAAGTGATGAAAATTTTATGCTTTTAATTTCAGTGAAACCAAATGTGGTACACAATTGTTCAAATCTTCTGGTTGTGAATGAAGGCGATAATGTGTCATGTGTATGTAGAGGTGAAGGAGGTAAACCTCCTGCTAATGTCACATGGTTTGATAAAAATAACAACATACTTGGTGATGTTGGAGTTGCAAGTAAGACATTAGTAATCACTAATGTTACAATGAATGATGGTGGAAATTACAGATGTAAAGCACAAAGTTATAATGATCCACGTTTTAGAGATGAAAAATCCATTGAAATACGAGTGAAAGCTACTTGTAAGTTTCAAGATTTTGTTTCAAATTTCATTTTCGACGTTTGCAATTATAAAGACATAAAAAGACAGTAGAATATGATTTTTATTCTTCACAGATCCACCGCAACAAACCAATATTACCATCAGTCTAATGTCAGTAGAAAAAGTTCTTCCCCCCTCATTCCGTAAAAATGCCCCCCCGGAAATGTTAACAGACAGAAAGACAGACAGACACAAATCGAGATTTTACCTCTATATAGGTCGAGTAGAGGAATGGGCCGAGACATCTCAAGATTAGTGTGCTGCCACGCTGATGCGTGGCAGCAATAAATGCGCAAAAATTACCCTTATACAATATACATATTGGCCATTTCTTTCAAAAATAATTCTCAAACTCATCCATTTTAATAGTCAAACTATTATTTGCAATTTTTTATACACGTGAGTCCAATTTTGTGGTAATCAAAAAGCGGAAAGTTAAAGAAAACATTTGTTTTTTTTGAACAACTTGACCGTCGTTTGAGCGATGTTCTTGAGTTCGCAAATGTGCGGATCTCATAAGCCAAGTCAAACGAACTAAACCCTAAACTAGCCGAGTAGCCGTGAGCAGTCATAGCCGAAATGGTAAAAAATGCGCGTTGTGCAGTTGGATATTGCGATAATGATAAACGCTATCCCTATTATTAAGTTAAGAGGTCTCACGTAGAAAATTTAGTTTTTCTTAAGTGGCCCAAAGATCAAGCACTTGCTGAAATTTGGTGAAAACAATTGCAAACAGCAGAGCCGATGACTTTAACCCAAAGCCTGGTGCACAAGGTACTTTCATTTGCTCAAATTATTTTCCCTTGGTAAGAAGAACCCCAAATAAAAGCGGAACGGATTATCCTTTGGTTTTTATTACGCTATCAGAGTACGAGCAATCGAGGACCCCGCTTAAACGTAAAGGAGAAGAAACATGGACGACATCAAAGCGTCCTCATCAAGCCTATGACACCGAGGATTCTGATTCAAGTTTTGATGGAAATCCAGCAAAATCTGAGGCATCTTTACTCCCTGTCCCTTTGGAATTTGAACAGTTGACGAGATAGTATGATGTAAGGTTTCACACCGGCCTGCTATCGACTAACAGTTTTAAGTGTGTATTTGAATACTTGGCTGTTTAGTAGCCTTACATAATAATAAAAATAGCAATGTCACTTTACAAATAATTGAAAATACTAATAAGAGTTTGCCGTAGAATAGTTCCTCGTGATACTTGCTGACTTTGCTGTAGACATGTGCGTGTGTTACGAACTCAAGAACATCGCTCAAACGACGGTCAAGTTGTTCAAAGAAAACAAATGTTTTCTTTAACTTTCCGCTTTTTGATTACCACAAAATTGGACTCACGTGTACAAAATATCGCAAATAATAATTCAACTATTAAAATGGACGAGTTTAAGAAATATTTTTGAAAGAAATGGCCAATATGTATAAGGGTAATTTTTGCGCATTTATTAGTAATTTATATGGACGCCATGCGTGCCCGCGCGCTCGGCCCAATGTTTTTGCACCCCCTGCAATATGGCTGCGATAACCTTGAAAAGGTCTATAACCTCATACTCATGTAAACTAAATTTAAAACTTGTCTACTCTAATTACAAACTATAAAACCTGGATCAAGTTTTTTCATTCTCCTCTTTTGAATTTGCCTCTTTTTATCTTTATTTATTAGAAAAAAAACCATGCGTGCAGTATAACCATAAAAGCAAATGTTTTTTACTTTCACAAGACTTAGTCTAATGACCTTAGAATTTCCCTCCTGTTTTATGTAGATGCAACATTCAGAAAAGGGGGGGAGGACAATTTAAGCTTATACGACCAAATCTGGTAAACAAACTTGGTCACGCTGCATGTGGGTGTCTAGGTATACGGACATGTACAGCTTTTGGAGTGAGTGCCCTAATAGGAAGGACAGCCACAAATTTGCCTTTTTGCTTGAACGTTTTCAATGTGATGTTTTTACTCGTGTATTAATTTTCAATTCAAATAGAAACTGTACAAAAATGTGTCGCTCGTGTCAAATGCTACAATATATTAATGAAGCGTTTACCAGCTTTCCAAAGCGCCGTCCTCAGCTTGTTGTTAAAATTGAAGCCTTTAGCAAACTTATACGAGTTCTCCAGCACTTCGCAAAACAAAAACAGTTGGTTAGATGTAAGATGTGGAAACATTCCGTCGTGTTTTCGTTTAGCGGTTCGTCGAGGAGTGTTGAGACACTGAAATAATGAAAAACTAAGTCAATAATCATAATGAGACATGTACGATTATTGAAAGTAAACAACTCTGACTACAGTGTATCGTTGCTACTTATAACAATGTCAAGACATGAAATTGTATGAAAGTTCAGCTCTTGTTAAATAAACGTCAAAAACCAAGATGCAAAACTCTCAAAGAGCGCATTTGAATGGATCATGGTTGACAATCACTCTCTGGAAAAACACGGTTGTAGCTACATATGGTATTTAAATGACTATTTTTTAAGTAAATAGTCCGACTTCAATTGTGTATATAATAGTGTAATCAGCACGATAGCACTCCGGTGATCACATAGCTCAGTTCTATGATTTCTTTTGGTATTTCGCGAAGGAAAGTAAAATTCGTAAAAATTGCAATTTGTCTATTTTTACATCAATGCCGGCGATTTTGTGAATCAGTTTGACCAATCAGGTGAAAGAGGATTTACTACATCATTGTAGGTGATTTAGAGAATCAGTTTGACCAACCAGGTGAAAGAGGATTTACTACACCGTTGTAGGTGATTTAGAGAATCAGTTAGACCAATCAGGTGAAAGAGGATTTACTACATCATTGTAGGTGATTTAGAGAATCAGTTTGACCAACCAGGTAAAAGAGGATTTACTACACCATTGTAGGTGATTTAGAGAATCAGTTTGACCAACCAGGTAAAGAGGATTTACTACACCATTGTAGGCGATTTTGTGAATCAGTTTGACCAACCAGGTAAAAGAGGATTTACTACACCATTGTAGGTGATTTAGAGAATCAGTTTGACCAATCAGGTGAAAGAGGATTTACTACATCATTGTAGGTGATTTAGAGAATCAGTTTGACCAACCAGGTGAAAGATTTTACTACACCGTTGTAGGTGATTTAGAGAATCAGTTTGACCAATCAGGTGAAAGAGGATTTACTACATCATTGTAGGTGATTTAGAGAATCAGTTTGACCAACCAGGTGAAAGAGGATTTACTACACCATTGTAGGTGATTTAGAGAATCAGTTTGACCAACCAGGTAAAAGAGGATTTACTACACCATTGTAGGCGATTTTGTGAATCAGTTTGACCAACCAGGTAAAAGAGGATTTACTACACCATTGATGATTTAGAGAATTCGTTTGACCAACCAGGTAAAGAGGATTTACTACACCATTGTAGGTGATTTAGAGAATCAGTTTGACCAACCAGGTGAAAGAGGATTTACTACACCGTTGTAGGTGATTTAGAGAATCAGTTTGACCAATCAGGTAAAAGAGTATTTACTACACCATTGTAGGTGATTTAGAGAATCAGTTTGACCAATCAGGTAAAAGAGGATTTACTACACCATTGTAGGTGATTTATAGAATCAGTTTGACCAATCATGTGAAAGAGGATTTACTACACCATTGTAGGTGATTTAGAGAATCAGTTTGACCAATCAAGTGAAAGAGGATTTACTACACCGTTGTAGGTGATTTAGAGAATCAGTTTGACCAATCAAGTGAAAGATGATTTATTACACCATTGTAGGTGATTTAGAGAATCAGTTTGACCAATCAGGTGAAAGAGGGTCTTACAAGCCTGCATACAACACATAAGGAACTTTAAGAAATTCAACCCATGGAAATCGTTTATTCTATAATGTCTCTGGAGGATATTTATTGAAATTTTTTACGTGTCTAAAGAAAGAGGTACCAAATGTGAACTCGATAAATAGGGAGGTTCATATACTCATGTTTTTTTGTATTAACTTCCAGTGAAATCAATTGTTCTCTACAGGTTAAGAGATGCATATATGACTTTGTGACCACCCCAGCCCTACAACCACAGAATAATAATTATACAGAAGGGCCACTCAAGTGTGCACTGCGTCCTCATGGCCGCCATTATTCCAACAAGATATATTTAGGGTTTTTCATTTGTTTCCAAACACTACAATTACATGACGTCATTACTTCGTAATGAAATTAAAAATATTTCAATATAAGAAATGACGTCGGTTCATTTTAGTGTTTGGAAACAAGTGAAAAGCCCAAAACATCTTGCTGGAATAATGCCAGTCGATATGCGCGGCACAATATGCTTGAGGATAAAAACATCAATGGTTCCGACACAAGTGACTTTTCTGTTTATTACATATTCTGCACTTCAGCTAAGAACTTTATTATGCCACCAAGGGGAACTCTGGTATAACAACATTACGACAAAGCAATTTATCTCAGTATTACCTACAATGACCGCAATTATAACTGACCTGTAATTCAGCCATAGTATCTTCATCTTCTCGCTTGCTGGAGCTTGGGAAAAAGACGACATTGTCGATCATTTGGATAAGTTCCAATTGAACGACACACTTAATGATCAATGAATTGAACAGCATCCTCTCCGTCTGCACAACTAACATAATGAGATGATTTTACGACGTTAAAGTACATACATGAAAAAATTAAAAAATGTCACTCGGGTGTTGGTTGAACATTTCCGTATTCACGCACAGACGATTTTTTCATTTGTCGGTAAAAATCGAACTTTTGAATATGTCAAACAAAGGGCTAATTTATCTTATTAGAGGTCTTCTAAAATAAAATAAAATAAGCAACGAATGCCAAAAAATAAAGCAAAAACGAGTTCCTTAAGTTAGTGCCATTTTTTATGAAAAATAAGTGTTAAAAGGAGAAGTAGTAATAATTACAAATTAGTAACATTATTAGTTCTATTAGCAACAATTAACAACATTATTGTTTCAAACATTGCAAAAAATGTAAATTTTTAGAACATAAGCAGTTTCAGGAAATGTTACATGACGTCGCTGTTTACTTCAGATTGAGTTTTTCAAACGCATATATCAATTATACGTTTTTCTACGCCTTTCCAATAAACCAAAGTAAATTAAACACGTAAATGGCAGCAGGCTGTGACAACAAATTATTAATCTCGATTTCTAACACATAGTTACCTGGTTCGTGTTCTTCGACAGGTTCAAATCGTAAACTAGGCGTACTATGTAAACTGATGCTGTCTTGTTCTTTTGTTTCTTCAACTGTTTCTTGAGGCATTTCCTCCTCCGTTTCATTCAAACCTTTTGACGATTGCTGACCATCTTGTTCGTCCTCGTCTATAAAATAATACGGAAAAATTTTCACTTGTTACTCAAAGAATACAAGCTGTTTGTCCATACGAGTTAAAGATTCACACGAGCTATATTGCAATATGCGAACATTTGCTTCATATGAGCTTTTGGTTCAAATGAGCTTTTTTAATATGCGAGCTTTAGCTTACCATGAAATATTTTCCAATCCTATAATCATGGAGACAATTGAAGCAACATTTTCCTTTAAAAGAATTCAAAAACTTTTTATTTACCTTCCAGATATTTGGGCACGATATCATCCTCCAGGTCAACAGGTAACATTATCTACAATATACGTCAATTTTAAAGGTAATAAATACATAAAACAAACAGAATAGTTATGAAAATTTGTCTGAAATTTTACAGTGAAATTTTAAAGAAACGATTCAATACTTATTATCAGATAAATTTTCTCAAGCAATTTCACAAAATTCTGATTTAATAACTACGCAAAACATTTAAAATTAAAACAACCAATTTGCCATAATTTGAGAATTACAACCAGAATGACGTGTGGTGCTTCGCAAACATTTGTAATTTTTAACCTTGAAGTTTTGGCTCTTTTCAATCCCTTGAAATCATCGGGGCTAGCTCGCTATCCGGGCCAGCTCGCCTCCATATAATCAGGCCCTAAGTGTAACTTACCTTGAGTGGTGATGACGGAGGAGTGACATCAGGTGTGGGTGGACTAATTAATTATGGTCAGCGGGTCTCCATTTCAATAGTTCGTGAGGTACGGTTGATTCAAATATCGTCTTTACACATTGACATGTTTTTCCCAGACGTCTTCGGAGAACGTGTTGCCAATGGATATGACGAGATTTTCCAAACAATTGGTACCAGACCTCGCTAACTGCTCGTTATCTAAAGACATGTATTGAATGAACGAGCAAAGCAGGACATGGTGTTACAAAGCATTTACAGTCGAACCTCTAAGAATCTCTGATGCTTCTTGTATACTAATGTACCTCACACCAAATCAATCACAAACTCTAATACTTCAAACCAATCAGTAACTCTGATATTTCAAACCAATCAAAAACTCTGACACAACGAACCAATCACCAAGGCATATGCCAAGCACAAACACGTTGCGTAATTTCAAGCTTACCTTGTTTAACACACCACTCTAGATGGCCATACATATCATCAAGAAAAATTTCAGCAAGAATATGAAAATACTGAGTAAAAACATCGATGATAGCAGATTGAGCGTGATTACAAGTTGTTGTCATCCATTCTGATTTCTATAAAGAAACATCACAAATTTCAAAACAACCTCAGCTGATGTCTCATTTTATAACGAGGAAATACAACACCTTATACACGGACTTTATTGTATGTAAAGGAAACGACCTTCCCGTAGTTTAAAACTACTCCCTCCTGTTTTAAAGGCAAAAGCATTCTTTACAGGTGGGTAACTTTCACAAACGAGTGTTTCAAAACTTCCATACTGGTACAAATCGTTTACACAAAATGAAATCGGTGTGTGAATAGGGAATGCAAGAGGACAAGAATGGATAGAGAATGAAGTAGAGACTCTAGAATGAAAGTGGATAGAAGTGAATAAGAAATAGAGGAAGATATGAGGGGATCATTGAACTAAAATACATGGAACGCTACATGAAGCAAATAATTGAAGCCAAATCTTACATCCAGACACACGCGTGTTTAGTGTTTTGAGTTCTCTCGCGCAGTGAAAATTGATTGAACTACACCCGCGTGTCTGGGTGTAAAATTTGGCTTCAAAAAATTACTACGGTTTTCTATTACAGGTAGCGTTCCATGTATTTTAGTTCAATGGAGTGGATACACAATTGAAATGGATGAGTGAATGAGGAATGAAGGTGGATAGACATGAACACATGAAATGAATATTATTCCATGTGGAACTGGATAGTCATGTATGTAAGTTGACTTTTTGCGATATAATGTGTGTTTATGGCAATCATAGACAATAAGACCAAAATAACGACATATTATAAACTACGCGTTTTGAAACGTGGTCGGTTACGGGAGAATAATGGACCGGAAAAATGTTTCTCAGCCAATCAAAGCGCGCCATTTAGCCGGAAGTGACGCTTGCCATATAATAAGAGCAAAATAATGACAGTTTTCTAACCTCCTGCCAATCTATCTGTCTGTCTGGTAGTTTCATGTTGTCGAAAATTCGAAACACGACTTTAAACACATCACGCCACCAATGTTGGAGAAACGTGTTCCCGTATGTTTTCATGATTTCAAACATCACGGTTAGGCCTCTAGTTGATGGATGGAAAATAGCTCACATTCAAATTATACAATGCATACTAATCTATACAGTACAAACAACTCAATATTTCCACCATACCTTGTTCTGACATCTAGTTTACATCGGTTGATGATACACGAAAGCTCAAAGGACTGGAAACCAGCCTTTCACACAGATTCTGTCCTGCTCTGATATCCCAGCATTCTCTACTCCGTAGTCTTTAAATATCTGTTTATAAAAGAAAAGAAAACAGACGCCATTGAAAAATTCTACACGAAAAAGCGATTGAATGTTGTTACATCATTTAATGATTTCCGTAAAGCTTCATTAGTCACCGTGTCTGTACCACAAGATGGAACGATGAACGATGGAAACATGTAAGGGTGGAACTTTGAGGATATAATTTCCTTTTTGAAGGGTATGTTCTTCAATTGAATGTTCTTACATCATTTAATGATTTCCGTAAAGCTTCATTAGTCACCGTGTCTTTACCACAAGATGGAACGATGAACGATGGAAAGATGGAAGGGTGGAACTTTGAGGATATAATTTCCTTTTTGAATGATATGTTCTTCAATTGAATGTTGTTACATCATTTAATGATTTTCGTAAAGCTTCATTAGTCACCGTGTCTTTACCACAAGATGGAACGATGAACGATGGAAAGATGGAAGTGTGGATCTTTGAAGATATAATTTCCTTTTTGAAGGGTATGTTCTTCATAGAATGTTGTTACATCATTTAATGATTTCCGTAAAGCTTCATTAGTCACCGTGTCTTTACCACAAGATGGAACGATGAACGATGGAAACATGGAAGGGTGGAACTTTGAGGATATAATTTCCTTTTTCAAGGGTATGTTCTTCATAGAATGTTGTTACATCATTTAATGATTTCCGTAAAGCTTCATTAGTCACCGTGTCTTTACCACAAGATGGAACGATGAACGATGGAAAGATGGAAGGGTGGAACTTTGAGGATATAATTTCCTTTTTCAAGAGTATGTTCTTCATAGAATGTTGTTACATCATTTGTTGATTTCCGTAAAGCTTCATTAGTCACCGTGTCTTTACCACAAGATGGAACGATGAACGATGGAAAGATGGAAGTGTGGATCTTTGAGGATATAATTTCCTTTTTGAATGGTATGTTCTTCAATTGAATGTTGTTACATCATTTGTTGATTTCCGTAAAGCTTCATTAGTCACCGTGTCTTTACCACAAGATGGATGGATGGAAAGAACATTCAATTGAAGAACATAATATCTTTCCAAAGCTGGGTTGCCTGTAATATCGTGGCATCATGGGTATTGCCAGGAAATCCAGCACTTGCCCATACAAACCTATACTTGGCATCAATCAAACCCATTAAAACAATTGAATAAAAATTTTTGAAATTGTGATATTCTTTGGCTGCCTCTGCACCTCCATTAGGACATTTAATCGAGATATGACACCCATCAACTGCAGACCAACAACATGGAAATAGCCAGAGTTTTTTCCATATCAATTATTTTTTCCCTCATATGTCCTTCTGACGAGGGAAAATGCGCACTAACAGCATCCTTCCATAAATGAATTACAATGCTTTTGCACACTTCTTTGACAATCTGCTGTAATGTTGCTATTCCAAGGCCAGACATTTCAGAAAGAGTGTAATAATAGTCGCCACGTGCTAATCTATAAAGACATATAGCCAATCGACATGCTGGTGAGACTGGTTGCTCTGACATTGTTTTCTTTTCTAAATCACATTCAATTTTGCCAAGAATCATCGTGAAAATATCTCGTGATACACGAAATGTAGTCCTAAAGCGCTTTTCTGAATAGGTGAACCATATAGATTCCCACCAGTGTCTCCATGATAATGTTCTTCCAAGCCGACGACAAGAACGAATTCTAGGTATTTCATTCTCCTCAGAAATAAGATTTAGCAGTAACAAGCACAACTGACAAATCTTTCTTCTTCTATTAATCAAAGCCAACAATATATGAAGACGCCTTTGTCGTCTTTCTCTTCGTATTCGTATTATTTTCCTTAAAATAATAGCTTTTGCCACAGCCACCATGTTTAATTTTGCCTAAGAAACAACCAGTTAGCAGGCTATAGAGTCGCATTTGATGATTTGAATCCGATGCAAATTCGACGTATAAATCGAGAAACTCATTTCTACGGTGGCCCACAAGGGACATGCAACTTACATAAGTCTGTTGCTGCAAATTAAGTCGGTTGCTGCAAGTTAAGTCTGTTGCTGCAAATTAAGTCGGTTGCTGCAAGTTAAGTCTGCTGCTGCAAGTTAAGTCTGTTGCTGCAAATTAAGTCGGTTGCTGCAAGTTAAGTCTGTTGCTGCAAATTAAGTCGGTTGCTGCAAGTTAAGTCTGTTGCTGCAAGTTAAGTCTGTTGCTGCAAATTAAGTCGGTTGCTGCAAATTAAGTCTGTTGCTGCAAATTAAGTCGGTTGCTGCAAGTTAAGTCTGTTGCTGCAAATTAAGTCGGTTGCTGCAAGTTAAGTCTGTTGCTGCAAATTAAGTCGGTTGCTGCAAGTTAAGTCTGTTGCTGCAAATTAATCTGCGGCTGCGATTTGCAATTGTCGTATGCTGCTGAAAAAATAATAAAAATGGCTGCTGAAGATAACGAAAACGCTTTAAGGACTTTAATAGAAAATTATTTTTATTCAGGATATAAATACAACGAAATAGTCCTACTTCTAGACAAGCATCATGCCGTAAAAATGTGTTGTAAAACTTTAAAAAGAAAACTCAGAGAATATGGTTTCAAAAAACGAAAAAATGATGATTGTATTGATGACGATAGGCTAAAAGAAACTATTCGTCAGCTAATAAATGATGCTGGAAGCTTGTCAGGATATCGAACAATCTGGCATACCCTGCGTCGTCGATTCCACGTACACGTTTTACGTAAAAAAGTGGCATTAATAATGAAGGAAATTGATCCACAAGGTGTCCAGCAAAGGAAAACTCACTGTCTCCAACGACGAGTATATCGATCAAACGGTCCAAACTTTTGCTGGCACATGGACGGTAGGAAAAATTGAAATTTACTAAAGTACAAAAGATGACTACATTGATTTATTTGGTTTGCCTGTTTTGATTGGGTATAAAACATAACATAATGTTTTATTTCATATTAATCACACCATTGCTAATTGTTACAGGCTATGACAAATTAAAGCCCTATGGATTCCCTATTCATGGGGCTATAGATGGTTACAGCCGACGGATAATTTAGCTTGAAGTGGTAAAATCCAACAACGACCCAAAAGTGCCTGCAAATCTTTTTCTTAAAAGTGTAAAAGAAAACCTCGGATGTCCACTTCTATTATGGAGTGACTGTGGCACAGAGAATGGATTGGCGGCTTCAATGCAATGTTATTTTAGAGATAATGGGACAGATGACTTGGCAGGAGAGAATGCTCATCGCTATGGTTCTTCTCACGCAAACCAGAGGATAGAAAATTGGTGGTCGTACTTTCGTCGTAGTCGAAGCAACTGGTGGATTAATTTTTAAAGGTCTAGTTCACGATGGGGTTGTTCTTCTTGGAAACTTAATTCACATGGAGTGCCTCTGGTTTTGTTTCCAATCTGTGCTACAAAATGAACTCAATGATATAATTGACCACTGGAACACTCACTATATCCGACGTTCGCGATATGATACTATACCTGGCGTGCCAAATCTTCTTTACTTTTTACCAGAATTAACTGGTGGCGCTGACTACATTGTCCAAGTGCCAACAGACAAAATTAACGAAATGGAGGAAGAATGTGAGATGGAAGAAGGACTAAATGACTACAAAGAGTATTTCGAACATGTAATGGAAATAAAAGGACTACGTCTTCCAAATAATGCAACTAAAGCATTAGCACTATTTCAATGCTTAGTAGAAGCTGCTAATGATAAGGATTAAATGTTAACGGGAAAATCGACAAAAAAAAATGAGTTTCACGTCATGGACAAACCAGGCACGACGTTTGACTTTTGCTGTAAATGTTGTTTACGTACATACGTACGCTTCTCATAACACACTAGAGTGTAAGCGAATAACCATAACATCAACAAAACGATTTCGCAATGATCAAGTCGATTAAAGTATTAGTTTCAATTGTCAGATCTGCTTTTCAGATAAGTCCAAAATCACACGAATCCCCAATGGCAGAAACCATTAATTCTTCCATTTCCCATTCCGAAGCTATATGAACAGGTAACTTCACCAGCAAGTCACATGTTGACGTAGATGGTCTACATTTGCAGCAATCTTTGCAACCATGGATGAAAGCAACATTGAACTTATTGGGAAAACCTAACGGCGGTACTTCCTTGGCGCCACTGCACCATTGCAGGAAATCTGTCATAGTTAAATTTTGCAAACCTGAAATGCGTTAACATTATTACCTCAGCGGCAAAAACATAGCTTATAACACACGCTGTAGATGTTGAAATAAAATTGCACCGCACATATAACAGTGCAACTTTGTTAATGAGCTATTTGTTAATGAGCTGATTGTTGTGTTGCAGAGTTTTGGTAATGAAAGTGTAGATCGATGCACTCCGAATTTGGTAAATTTTTGTCTTCAAAACATCGAAATGGATCTATAACATCACCATTAAACTTATTTTGTTATCCTTTAAGCTTAGCAACTTCTGCACGGATGAAACATGCTGTAGAATATCTTATTTTTACTCTAGAATACAATTTATATGTGCACTATACATATTGTGTTCCTGCACTGTTTATGTAAGCCTTATTGTATAGAATTAATGTGCTTATATTAGTATCCTTACCATCTTCAAACTTTTGTATTACATCATTGAAGAATTTAAAGGTATTGTTACATGATAATCCATAATCATGTAAATTATACTTATTATTGTTATATATTTAAATATATTATTAGTTAACTAATTAGTAAAATGCCTTACTCATACATGCATGTGTATGTTAACCACAAAAACAGGAAAGCTTACGTATAGGACGTGGTCAACCTACTGACCACAAACAACTTACAGGATACATGGTTAATCAACTGACCACAGTTTACGCACAAGCTGTTAATCGTACGTCATTGTGCAATCATATATAAGCCGAAAATCGAACGTTGTAGTTATGTTGGTGCTTAGTATAAGTCCACATCAGAAGAAAGCTCATGTAAAAGAAGACGAACCATTTAAGAAAAGAATCAAAGAATACAGATACATATCCTATCCATCAACGAAAGAGTCACTGAAAGTTTGAAAGCAGTTGTCTAGATAAGTTTGAACATTTAAACATTTATGTTATAAGATTATATCAAAATTATTAGTATATTAAATAAATATTTTAAGAATTGACAACAACTTCTCCACAAGGTTTTACTCCTTTTGTTACGAGCAATTGAACCAAAAGCGGCCATTTTATTATTAGTCGGGACGTTCGTAACAAAATCCACTTCCTTCATCTTCAAAGCTTGAGAGCTACTATATTGAAGTTGCAGATGGTCAAGAAACTCATCAGCAGTAAACTTGAAAATATCACTCGGCACAAACACTGCCTTCCATACATGTGGCTGTTTTCTTATCGCGTCTAGAAGATTACAGTTAGACAAGCCTTCTTGAAGTTGTTGCAGCTGGGCTACGCTGTTAGAGATTTGATCTTTTATACAAATAGATCTAGTGAAAATAACAAATCAAAAGCAATTAATGCATGTGAGCAGAGGCAAATAAAAGGGTTATTTTCCTCTAAGTGAGCAGCACACACTAAGCTAGCAACCCATTTATGCAAGAGTGGAGAGTAAACAATTTTGCAAAAATTCGTCATTTTAACTCCTGATGTAGTTATGACTATCATGCTATGATTATGTAGCAGGAGTGTTTGCCAGCAGCCACTCCCAGGGGTGTGTGAGAATGAAGGTTACTTTGATTTTTTACACGATGCCAATTGAAAGTATATTGATAGATTAATACTAAGATGAAGTACTTTTAAAAGCAATTTTAGATACAAAAATATTAGCAGAATAAAAATTACACATACTGCCCTATGTCTTTGGATGATTTGATGCTTTCTTTTTGAGGCACACCGGTGTATCCAACATTCTGCAAAACATCTAATATCTCATCTGCCAATATGGTTTCATGAAGTACATCATCTGTTATACAGGATGATAACTAAAATACAAAAAAGAGCAATTTCACTTTCTCTAATACAGAACATAAAACTAAACTTTATGCAATAAAAATAAACATAAGAATGAAAAAGATCAATAAGGTTAGGTCATCTTCTAAAATACTTCATACCTTAATAGCTGCTGATTTAAATGCCTCATTTTGACAATTTTCTGCAGATAAATCTTGCTTTGCAATATATTGGAATATACTTTCATTTAAGAAATTTGGAGCTGGACCACCCTGTATGACAGACATAACCATAGCCTCACCAAGTAGTCAGAAGTCATTAGCCATCAGTGCCATTGTGGAATCATTGGGAAATCCACGAGACATTAACTTCCTTTTTCCTGCTTCTAACAATTCTACAAAAGCAACATTAATGAACATAAATAATTTTAAACACCACTGTTTTACAGTGATTGTGGAGGTTAAATATGAAAAAACATCAAGTTTACCTGTGAAGAACTCTCTTTTTGGTCCTCCATCATCAATGGCACATTCGCCAATAAACACAACCTTTAAGTTGTCATCAAGTTTGATCTTTGTAAGACGTGCTTGTTTAAAGTCGATCCATAGAAACTTTCTTCGAACATTTATTCTGACTCTGTCTTGCTTCAAAATATTATTATTCATAAGTTTTATAGACTCTTTCAACACAGATTTTATCTCCTCTGGACTTTTGTGTGCTTGTTTTTCTGATAATAATGATAGCTCAAAAACATATTTTACAGAGCTCTCAATATTGCTAAGTACTGTGTCTTTCTTGTGAGAAGTGTCATCAAGTAACCAGCTATTACATATGTCAGCATGTTCAGCAATATCTTTCACTGAAAATGGCAAGAAGCATATTGGACACTGTATAGCTGAACTAGTAGCTGCTGATGCCAATCCATCATCTGCTTCCGCATGCAAGTTTATGTCAGGTTTAGAAAAGTCATCAAATGAAGGAGTAGATGCCAATCCATTGTCTATTTGTGCAGAAAAAGTTAAGCCTTGTTTGGATGATTCATCAAATCTAGGATTATTCATTATTGCAGATGTATTGGTAGAATGATTAAAAGAATCCTTTGATAAGTCAATAAAATAAGTTTCTTTATTGTTGTCAAATGATGTATTGATGAAACATGAAGTGCTACTGTTTCCATACCTACAAGCCCCTTCATTCAAAAAAGAATCGTCAGATGTAAAGTCTTCTCCCTTAGGCAAAGAATCAAAAAGAACATCTTTTCTTGTCGCCATGAACATTGTTATCCTTGAGTAGGATTTTCCTGAAGCCTTTTTGTACTGACTCAAGACAAATGGATCCGAAGTTCCAGGAATATTAACAACTTCAGAACCATCAGGGTAAAGGAGTGCATACTCACAATCTTTGACAAATGACCGCTCAAAAGCACTATACTTTTCAATTGCTGCATTTAAAATTACTGATGATGAAGCACTGGCTGAGATTTCAAGCGCTAAAAGGCCACGAGCTGGCTTGAGTTTCTTTGTCTTTCCATCATATTTCATTAAACCTATTTGTACCACATGTTTCTCATCCACACTCTTCTTTGATTTTGATAAAAACGAAGATCTACTCTCGCACTTTCGCTTTTTGTATTCCGTAAATGTCAATACCTTTTTCTCGCCCGAATGAGCTTTGTTTAAGCCTTGTGGCGGGGTAGACGTAGTAAGGTGTGCACTGAGTCCTCTGACACTGTTACTGGAAATTGAAATCCCATCACTGTTACCACTATTCTTCACCTTTTGTTGCTCTTTTCCGCAATGGCAGCAAAATTTTGCCCCTTCGGGATTCACGCCTCCACAAATGTGGCAGTACATTAACAAGTATAACAAATAATATTAAAACGCTTTTGGATGTTGATGTTCTTTACTTATTCAATGATTCAACTTTAACTTAGTTATGGTAATACTTCATGATATATTTGCTAAAGTACATTTATTTTGCAGCAACCGACTTAACTTGCAGCAACCGACTTAATTTGCAGCAACAGACTTAATTTGCAGCAACGGACTTAACTTGCAGCAACCGACTTAATTGCAGCAACAGACTTAACTTGCAGCAACCAACTTAATTTGCAGCAACAGACTTAACTGGCAGCAACCGACTTAATTTGCAGCAACAGACTTAACTTGCAGCAACCGACTTAATTTGCAGCAACAGACTTAACTTGCAGCAACCAACTGAATTTGCAGCAACAGACTTAACTTGCAGCAACAGACTTAACTTGCAGCAACCGATTTAATTTGCAGCAACAGACTTAACTTGCAGCAACCGACTTAATTTGCAGCAACAGACTTAACTTGCAGCAACAGACTTATGTAAGTTGCATGTCCCTTGTGGGCCACCGTACATTTCCGTCGAATCTCCGTCGCAAAATTGTCGCATTAAATTCGACAGATTAAATTCGACGTATAAAACAGGCCTTAGGAAACGTACGGTAGAAATTCTAAAGTGCGCATAAGTAAGGCCAAAGGTAAGTATCAGTTTAGGAATAATAATAATAATAATAATAATAAAAAAGATAAAAATAAAAATGTAGGATGCTTTACTGTGTGCTATTATATAAAGTTTAAATATATGTTTGAGGTATAAGCTGTCATACGAAAGCAGCAATTTTATATAGTGGTTTTTATTTCATTCATTCAGAAAACTGTGTACCGATGGCGTCATGTTTGATGCACAACATTGACAGTAAAGATGCTCAGATTTGAATGTAAAAGTATTAATAAACATTTACAAAAGTTGAATGACTCGTTTTTTAAGTTTGTTCATTTTTTGCAAGAAATTGACGTTAGTTAAGACCTTCTGATGCTGCTGCTCAGCGATTCATTCCAAAATAGCTTAGATTACAAATGAAAAATTTTCTTCAAATATTGGGCTTGAGGAGCGCAGAAAATTGAAAAGCCACCGCAAAATTGCGACAAACTTACTGTGCCCAAGCTCAATGAGCTTATATGGTCAAGCCTTAAAAAATTTCCATCGTCAGCGAGATTTGCGTACCGCAGTTCTACAAGATTCTAGTGTGTGTGTGGCAAGTTCTCTCTCAGTTACTGTCGATGACCAATTAAAATGCTGAGAGACAAAGTCTTGCCGGACTTTCGCGCCATTGCGACTACGCTCTTTGATGCCGTTACCTTATTAGTGCATGTAAATTTTAGAGCTGTCATACAAGCGTCGACGTGTAGGCCCACCCATATTTTTCCCCATCCCCCTCTCCTCCACTCTAACCATTGTACCAATACTCGTGCTCTAAATACTGGTCAATTCATGTGCAGTACTCTCTCTCCTACAGTTCCTGCACTCCTCGCTAATGACTAATAGAATTTCTGGCAACTGGCAATTTTTGCAAAATGCTTTCAATATTACCGTAATGGGCAATTCTCAGAAACTGTGCCTGCACAGTAACACTTTTATGCTTCCTGCATGTGTTATTATGTATGCTAATATGTCTACTATTTACCATTTAATGTATTTTTTACTACTTTGCCTTAGCAATGTTCACCAAGTGTGCACACATTGCATAAATATTGCACACAAAAAACAAACAAACTTTTGTTTCTTAGAATCTAACTTGGAAATATTTGAAATACAAATACTTCATCGAAATTTCAAATCAAAACATGGTCAAACCATGTTTTAACAATTATAGCTACTTAGCTACGAACAATCACCCATAAACCGGAAAAACGGCAAAGTTAATTCTCGCTACCTTCGGCAATCTTTGTTGTGTATTTACAACAATACTAAATACACGACGATAAAAACAAATGGCGAAAGAATAAATTGACCCGCTTTGTCAAAACCATACAAAGGGAAAATATATAACAGGTGCATCTAACTTCGAATCCTACCTTCCCTGCCAGCCAGCGAGAAGTTCTGCACGACCAAGATACGTTTTGAAATATTCCCCATTTCCACTTTTGCATTCTACAAAATTTAATGCAACATTATAGGAAGCTCATAATCGCACCGAAAAAGAAAAGAACCAACTGCCTAACCATAGCTCAATATACGTGTAGGATATCTCTCGAGCAAGCATGAACTAAAACTCAACGAAAATTTTAAAATTCCACAAAGTGCTTCATTACCTTCTTAGTTTTTTCTCCCGCTTCCTAATTTTTCTAATTTCTAAAATATTGTGAATAGGCGGAAAGATTATATGCCTTCTTGTATTCATCACAGGTTACTCAACTTTTTCACTTCTTGCACGTTAAATACAACGACAGTTGCATATATTTTTTTCAACAGCACTGGCGACGAAACCGTCAGTGCTGTTGAAAAAAATATATGCAACAGTTGCATGTGATCTTATATTAAATTAGGCTTCAAACACGCAGACCAAGAACTGTCAATGGTGATGAAGGTAGATAATCAAAATGAATAGAAGTGTTCAGTCCTCTATTTCCCAACAAACGTTTCTAAAATGGATAATTCAAATAGATGTAGTTCAAATAAATTGATGAAGAGAGAGAAATGTATGTTGTGGGCATCTGACAAACCTTCTTCAACTGAGCCATCGAACTCAATAAATCGCTGTCCATTATTTTCTTTATGCTTCTCACACAACTGATATTACTTGCCGTTCTATCATATTCATCATTTAAAGAAATAAGCCTACCACAATAAAGTGGTTTGAGTTATTCCCATTAACTAAAAATCGTATGATAAAACATCAGTAAATAGTTGTTTCTATGTTTGTTGTTCCGCGCAACTTCGACGTACGTAGCTAATGGAATCGACTATTGAGCAGGATCAGATACTAATCCTATGAAATACAAAACAGGAATAATACAATTAGAAAATAAAAAAGCCACTGGAAAATTTAAAATTAGCAGTAATACCTTGCATGAATATGTATGGGGATTAACACACGTTCATACAAAATGCTAAAGATCTTTTAACACCAGTTAAATTGCTTCTTTTTCAGTTGTCACTTCTTCCGCCCGCATCAATGGCATACAACCAGTTTTATCGAATGATGCATGAAGACAAATGCAATTATTCATCATCAAATCTCTATCTACGTCATATTTTCCTTAAACTGTTGTGAAAACAAAACAATTTAAGGAAAATATGACGTAGATAAAGTCTTGTGCAGCATGGCAATGGCACTCCACGTAACGACGGTTAATAACATAGCCAGGGGGGTACCAAACATTTCTAAATAATGACATCTGAAGAAATCGCGGAAAGATCTGCCATGGAAAGATCGCGGAAAGCTGCTATCGTTCTCTGACCATGATATCAACCATTTTTCTGCAAAACAATAGGCACATATCACAGATTAATTTCTTGGGTAAATCAATTAATAAAGCTTTCGTATGTAATACATTCATGATGATTACCAAAACATTTATTACATAAAAAGACCAATCGGGGATACAAACTTTATTAGATGATTATCATGCCTCAAGCACAAAGTTAGATATATTATTTCTACTAACCACTCACCAATTCTTTATTCTATTTTGTTCTGAAGTTCACGTTATAGAGTAGACGTTTGTTATGCTCTTCTGGTTCTTTTGCTTCCATGTATTTTTCTTTCAACCTGGAAAAGTCAATGAAGAAATAACTTGAATAAAGATAACTGCTAATAAATCCACAATGGCTGTAGCTGTTAATCAAACATGAAAATATTTGGATGATAATGCAGCAATGTAATAAGTACTAAATAAGATAATACAAAAATATATTCATTTGTGGTTGCAATATGGCCAATTGTTGCGACTGTAATCTTTGTTGGTGAAATTTTTGTTTACATGAAATGTACTGGGATAGTTTCTTTACAACTCTCTGTTATACCTCAGTACACGGTTTAACTTTTCTAAAATCTAAACCATACTTTGTCTCACATCACTACCAACTCACCCCACATCAACTTATACAAACCCAATAAAAATAATTATGAAAATCAGTCCATGTAGCAAATTGACACAAAATTTTACAAGTTCTTGTTTCTATATCGCTTGATTATTGTTAATGAGGGCTATGAAGGAAATGGATCATTAAAAAATATTTCTAATTTAATATTGTATGCATAAGTTAAACGAATATTTATTCTTCATTTTCTTGTGGATTATTCAGAAAGTGTTCACTTAATTAAATCCTTTGTGATTGTCTAGGTAATATTGTTACCTTGTTTAATTGCCATTCAAACTTTGTTCGAATAGTGTCCTTGCTGGTATGGAAATGATTTACTCTACTTCCAATTTACTTGAAACTAATTTAAAAGTGTTTGAATTAGACTACTCCTACTAAACGTCAATGTTATATACATGTTAATAACATTCTAAGCTAGATTTGTAAAGCAAGGGAGGTTGTTCAAGATAACCGTTTACTTGGTGTGGTATGTTAATCTTATACAAAAAAGTTCATTTCAAATTTGCCACATAAGATTTGGTCATTGCCAAACAAACAGGTTGCTAAAGTTGAATTCATCCACAAGCTTTTTCCAGCAATTTTTAAGTTATATGTGCGTTTCCTTTTTAGACTAAATCAGCTTTTTCTGAACAACATGAAAATAACAAATTTTATGAAGAACATGAAAAATTTGCTGTGCGCATAAACAGATAGACTTCAATTTGTTCAAATCAATTCCATAAGTTCGAATTAATATTAAAAAAAAACATTGATATGTTATCTACCACTTGTTTAAAAAAAAATCTTAGGTCTCAAAAGCCACTTTAGGATGAAGGCCAAGGAATTTTTCAGTACTTAAGGACCCTTTGAGAAAGCTCTTTGAACAATTTACATGGCTTTTAAATCAATTGTACAAATTTTAATTTCAATTTGCAAACAAATTTATTGCAAAAAAATAACAGTATTGGACCACAATCAAGATATTTTATAGAGCTGCCCGCTGTGCCAGCCAATCACTATGCATGAGTACAAAAAATAAATGTGGAAACCAATGATTTCATGATCAATCTCTTATAACAAATTTATAGCCAACTAAGTGCAGTATGTGGCTGTACTAAACAGTCTTTAAGTATAAATAATATGATACTATAATACAGTGGGCTTTCAAGTACAACTTTAAAAACACATGACAAATTACGACAGCCTTGGGAAATGCTCAGGAGTTCCATAAAAGGCTGGCAACTGGCAATTTTTGCAAAATGCTTTCAATATTACGGTAATGGGCAATTCTCAGAAACTGTGCCTGCACAGTAACACTTTTTTGCTTCCTGCATGTGTTATTATGTATGCTAATATGTCTATTATTTACCATTTCATGTATTTTTCACTACTTTGCCTTATCAGTGTTCACTAAGTGTGGCATTGGTCAAAAAGGCCCTAGGAAACATTAAGTTTTGTGTGTCATACACATTTGCTTTTGCATCTCAGAAAAGAATAGTGAAAACATTTAAAAGCATTTGCTTTTGGATAAAGTTATCTTTAGGCACAATAAATAATTGTAAGGTCTTAATTATTGTTTATCAGTGGCGTGCGGTGACCGAATTTAATAGGCAAGCGCTGGGGGTGAGGTTCGCGGTTCGCGGCTTAGCCTGACTCAGGGGCATGCTCCCCCAGAAAATTTTTGAATTTTGAGGGCTACTGGAGCGCATTTCCCGCGATTTCTGGGAGTATTTTGTCGAAAAAAATGTATCTGTCATGACTGAAACAGTATTGAAAAAATCTAAAAAATTCAAAAAACTTTTATAGAGTATAAATCACAATTACGGTTTAAAAGTATTACATGTGGTATTGTGATATAAAGTCGTTTGTAGAAGTAGAACATAAAAGGATGAAAATTCCTATGCTATATATTTTATAGGAACATCAATCTTATTTATACCTTACATCAGTTACATGACTACATAACGTGCGTACATTACTCATCTAGATTCATGTAATAGCAATAGAGGAAATAGCCAATCCTACACTTACTCAAACGCGCTACTTAAACTTACGCACTTAACTTTATAATTACGTAAAACTACTCAAATTTCAAGTACATTATCCGCTGTGTAATAACTGCACCTTCTTTAAAGTGGTACTATGACGAAAACTGAACGTTAAAAAATCATCGATTTTAGCATTCAATAGTTTAAACACATATCAATTATTGCTTTCGTAAAATTTAAGCAAAAATAATAGTATAACGAGGGAGTTATGAACATTTGAAATGTCTAATTTTCATGTCCGCCATTAAAATCGGCCATTTTGAATATTTGCAATCAGCAAAGTTTGTGACGTCATAGTCTTAACACGGCAAGAAGCGCACATTGGAAAGTATACAAAGTAATACATAAATAGAGCAAAAAAATGTCAAATTCATCGAGATCTAGCTTGCTTTCTGAGTCTTCGATCGAGACAAACTCATCGATTTCTTTATCGGAATTCATGACGGCAAATTCGGACGAATCTAATTCGGAAATTTTGCCGTTTGCCGATAATATTGAACCGCTTGCTTCGACCGATGAAATTGCGGAGTACGAAGCTGCAGTCGCGAAAGAACGGCAGGTTGAGGACATGCTGCAAGATCGTTTTGATGCCCGTGTTGATGTTACTTCATGGTAAGATGTCATTCTTAGTGTGTTACTTTGATCTGAATCGTCTGCCGTTAGCTATGATAACTTTATGGAAACATACAATTTGGCCAATATTAAAGGTGTGAATGTGGCCATTGTTCGTTGGATCTTGTTGTCAACCCTCAAGAGTGCCGATGCTGCATGGAATTAGAGCAATGCCGTGGTAAAATGTATCAGTTCGAAGTCGATGAAAGGACATGCATTTTGGATCACCCTGGCTTTAACGAAGTTTGCCTGAACGAATTTGTTCTTCAAGCAGCTTCGTTAGGTTTAAAGACCAAGGTCATCGCATGATACAGACACTTCATTTTGTATTTCCTTTAAAACCTTAGTATAAATGTATATTATATATTGAAAGTTTGCCTGGATGTATTATTGGTTCTCTCAAATTGTGAAAATTTATCATCTGCAATATGTGTAAGTATGTAATAATTGCAACTTATGCTAACCTGACGCCGGTCTCTTGACGTTGTTAGTGTTTGTGATTTCTTCCAAATAGTAGGTACGGCACCAGGTTTGAGCCGTCTAGTCATACCACCCAAATGGAATAAACGCTCAAAACAATCATCCGAGAAGTGATTCGAACAAATCATAAATCGAATTTTGCGCGAACTCGGATTAAAGTTTGCGCGCTTCTTCTGAACAAATTTAACCCAAATTCTTCTCAAAGACTTGTCGTTTGTGCTTTTATGTAATGAAATGCCTGTACTTCTATCAGACTTATTACTGCAATCTTGCACGACACAGCGTGTTGAAGGCATGTTAAAAATTGAGTTATACAACCTTATAAATCTCTATTTGTATATAATGTTATATTGTAAACAGCCGCGAGTTAAGACTATGACGTCACAAGCACCTTCCTTCTTGAAAATTCAAATATGGCGCATTTTAATGGCGGCTCTTAAAGTTCAAGTTTTATCGCTACGTAACTCGAGCAGCATGAAATACATTGCGCTAAAATTTCGCCAGAAGACATTTTTACATACACTATTAATCTATGAAAAAACGAGAGGCAAAATTTTCGTCATAGTACCACTTTAACCAAATATATAAAAGCCTGTAAATAAATTCTAACACATAGAACACTTGCGACTGTTGTAAATAACTTCTTCGCTAGTGAATAAAATAATCACAAAATTTAATAGCGTTCTAGTACATTGAACTCACGTTCGGAGCTTAAACGAGACTTATATTATATATAACGCTAAAATCTACCGGATACAAATATCAAAACTACTACGCAAAAGGAAGCTCTTGTCAATATCATCTTGTATTACATGCTACAGATAATATCTTCTACATACATAAATTGCAAGACAATAGGCGCGAAATGTATTGTAGCAGTCGTGATTATAACAATTAAGAACAGCCAGTTTCGCGCACAAAATTGGCACGGTGTGTTACAAACTGAGGCTATGGCGTTGTTTAATGTTTATATTTTGGTATAATGACGTCATGGCAACGTGTTCTCCCGTTCTTCAAAATGTGTCTGGCACTGACTCGTACGTTTGAGAATATCGGAGAGTCGTGTTTATTATTTAGTATCTTGTACCTTTTATTTTTAGTCATTAATTTACGAATTCAACGACACAAGACTGACAAGAGCATAGTGTTTTGGTCATAATGCTAGTCATACTTTACCACAACACACGTTTGCGTGCATTTCGATATCTCTGCAGACTGCGGCCCTGCTTGTTTACGAACATTGTGCGCAGAAAATAAAAAAATAACCAGTAAAGCACCTACTACTTTGAATTAGAAATCAGAACATTACCTTTCGCTCTCAGTCATCTTTTAATAAACGATAACATTAACGGCGTGAATAATTCGGATGTCCAATGTGTTGAATATCGAATATTATTCGCGCGCTGATATGTGTTTAAAATTGCGAGCGTACAAGACTGTTGACCAATCGCTTTAAAGCGGCGCCCTTAGAAGCGCCGCTTGCCTTTTCTCGATATTCCTCGAATAAGAAGCCTCCAAATCTAGATTAACGCATGCGCAAATGTTCAAATTGAGCTCCGAAGGCAAGCGCGCGGTAGCCTTGTTCAACACAGTCTCAAGCTTAAATAGATGAATAGCATCAATTGACAAAACGGCTTAAATAGATAATAATCATCAATCCAAGGGAAACTCCGTAACTATCCAAATTCAATACGTTTTGCGCACCCGCGAAAAGTTAACATGGCGGAAAAACGACCAAAACGTAAGAATTCACCATATTATAGATATTGCTGTTCAAAAGGAATGGAATCATTGTGTATTAAATTAGGCAAATTTTAACTACAATTAAGCTATTATTCATTCTACCTTGATATACAGCGTGTAAAAAGAAGAAATCCGAGACTCTGGAGAAAGTTCTGAATGATGGTTTAGCCTTGTTGGCGAAAGAAAAAGGATCAAAATGTCGGGGGAAAAAGCTTTCTCATTTTCGCTTAGTGCAAGTTGGTTGTAAGAGGTTGACCCACACGCCTTACCGCTGCCGTCAGGGATCAATTAAGCAAAATGGTAATGTTAATATTTAGTATTTATATTAAAATTTACTATCTTCAGTAGTATGTTGAGATTGTTGTTCTTGTTTGCAATTTTATGCTAAATAATATGTAGTATGCATGTGTAACATTACCCCCACCGTTCCTCATTTCTTGTTATGTTCTACATTACGAAGATAGAATTCGCGTTCTTTTTTCGCCCCTGTGGCTTTTTAAATTTAAGGTATTGTTGTAAAAATATTGATACACACGACCACGAGTTGGACAAAACTCAAAAAATGTAAATCTTTCTTAAACTATTTTTGCGACTTTTTTCCATCGCTTTCTTCCCGGTTGTTTTTGGCCGTGTTTATCGTCTGTAGAAAGACTGGGGACGAAGCTGACGACTATGATTATATGAGACTTCATTGGTCTTCATGAATTGAATCACGACTTCCAATTTTGAATGGAAGGCACACTCGGACATCTAGCAAAAGTAGGCGCATTCGGCAACTTCTTACGAAGATGATTTCCGACACCCGAGGTTTATTTTCGTATTGCGTGGATTCTCCGATAAAACTTATCGCGGGAAAATGGAATTAATTTAAAATAGTAAACAGTCTCCGCATATTGTACATCACCACACAAAACAAACGAAGGTAAATTTCTCTTTATGTTTCCGCTGGTAAACTGTTCTTATAAGAACAAGCACATATTTTTATACATATGGAAAGTATTGACATTTCAGCCGCGACTTCTTTATTTATAATTATAATCAAACTGTCTGAACGCTCTGGACTTGTGCAAAATGTAGAGGAAGCAGAAAGTCTCCTTAGAGAGTACGAGTTGGCAAGCACAACTCATTTTTGTGGAAAAAAAACAAAAAAAGGATTTGGGAACACAGGTTTGTATTTTTTTTCTCTCAAAATATAACTAATCTATATCGATCTATATGCTTTCCTTATTTCTGTTGTCCAGATCAAACTGTTATATGAAACCTGAATGTTGTCATATTCTTTAATATAAGAAGTACTATAATATCCATGCACATTTGAGTCTTACTATCCTCAGTCTGTCGTTGTGTGTCGAACGAGCAAGGAATAGGGAAACTACACTCATGGCAAAAAAGGTGAAAACCAACTCATAGGTAGTACTTTAGTCTAAAAAAGAGCAAGAGGCAAAGCACAGTTTTTCGTTAAAAAGGTTTCGTTTAATGTGTACAGAATACAGCCACGTAAATCACACAGTAATGTTGAATATAATGGTTTAATTTGAAGTAAATGAAATCACTTATTCTATTTTTAATCGAAAAAATGTTAGATCTCACAAGGTTTGGTGTAAAGATGGCCAGCTTCCATTTGACCATATACCGTTTGTTCAAGTGAACCATAGGGTCTACGATTGTCGTCATGGGGTAGGTAGGCATTCAAGCCAAAAGAAGAAAAACAGAACGGTAATAGATGTATTATTCATCTGCTAATGCAATACTACAGGTTTAATGAAAGTAAAATGAAAGTGAAACGACATTGCTGACCCCTGACTGTGGGGTGTTTGCAATTGCATTTCTTGTGTCATTACTTTTTAACCAAGATCCAACAACTTTGATGTATAATGAAGGTTCCATGCGATCACACTTGTTGAGTTGTCTGAAAAAATATGAGTTCACTCCTTTCCCTTCGACAAAGAAAAGGAAAATTGATGACAAGAGTCAAATCCAAAGAAAATTGAAATTTTCACTGATGTGCCACTGTCAAATGCCATGGAACCAGAAAGATCTTGAAAACCCAGACCTATGGTGTACTCAGTGTGACAAATGCTTGGAGTGGTTCCACAAAAAGTGTTCACCAACAATGCCAGATTCAGTTTTCCACAAGACAAATGTCACTTGGAAGTGTCCAAAATGCGTATAATGAATCAAAAGAATAAAATGCTTTAGAGGAAACTCAAAGTTGTAACTATAGAAAGAATTGTTATATTTTGTATTCAATTGTAAGAGTTTCTCTGGATTTTTATTAATGATTTATTGAGCTTTCAACTTGGTGCTTCGCGCTATATATATATGTGAATGTACATTCATGTGTGCATGCACACACAAAAAGTAACCCCTTTATCAATATTTCAATGTTCAAGGTGACTAATCGCAACTTTCCATTTTTGATATATATACAAATATGTACAAATAGCGACAGCAAAAACTTGTAGATTTTATTTTACAAATATGTAATATACATATCTAAGATGGTAATTAGTTTCCTTGGTTACTTAGTTACCTTGAACATTAAAATTGTTACATATATAATGTAGAATGACTATTACTGATTTTCCCTTTATACTACATGAATATGTTGTTAACAAATTGCCACTGGCACATGCAAAGCATAAAACACAATTGGCAAGATTATATTCTATAAAAAATATGTCAAAAATTTAGTACATAAAGTGATATCAAACCATCGTCTAACAAAAAACCAGAGAAATGGAGAATAAAATGTCTAGAATTTTCAATGTTATCTTACCTTTCTTGATAAGTTGATTTAGATTTGTTTATACTGTAGAACAAGTGATGGAGAGCTTACATATGTAATACCAGTGGGCAAAATAATTTCAAAATAAATTGTGCTTTAATTTGCTTTATGCTTTCAGGTTTCAACACATTTAAAGTTAAATAAATGTGTAAGGGTATAAAATTTTTAAATTCTAAACTGCTATACATTTCCATTTTGTTGATCACAATAATGATTAAGAATCACAGGAGACCATTTGTCTTTTTTTACTTGAATGCAACTATGTCGAATAACATGTCAATATTATAAATATATATTATACTACAATATACTGCGCTTACCTTTAAGTTTGGTTTGATCAATAGTCTTTTCAAAATACCACGACCATTTTTCTATCTGTTGTTTTTATATGCAGCGATATTTATCGCTCACATACACGCAGAATCCACGCAATACGAAAAATAAACCTCGGGTGTCGGAAATCATCTTCGTAAGAAGTTTCCGAATGCGCCTACTTTTGCTAGATGTCCGAGTGTGCCTTCCATTTTGAATAAGTGTAGTTGTTGTTTCACAAATAATATATATATATTGAGCTAACTGCGTTATATTTACCCGTAAATGGATACAATACAAACCTCGAAACCGAACTGCTTGATTGTGTGTAGTTCGTCGTGCGAAGGTAAGTAACTGTGTTTGGTTTGACACTCTTAGTTGTGAAATATAGGTTCAAATATGAACCTGTTGAACTATTCGAATATCATAATGAGTAATTTTATTAATAATAGATCAATTACTGGATGACTTATTGCTTTTGTTTTGAACTTTATTTCCCTCTTTATTTTGTGTACAACCACATCACAACAATTTATTGTATTCTAATACGTACAAATTACACTTACCTACGTAGCACACGATGACATTCACTTAATGTGATGTGATCATACTTGAGCACAGGGCGGATCTAGGATTTTCAAACATCAGTCATAAAACGTCGAAGGCGCTCCGCACCTGGGGGTCTGAGGCATTCTCCCTGAGAAATTTTGAATTTCAGAGCCTTGAAAATGCCATTTTCAGCGTTTTAGAGCAATACAAAATGTATTTGTGGGCATCGTTTTGCGTAAAACAACACATTTTGCTTACGTTTTTTCAAAAAAAATGAAGTGAACAATACTTGAATGTTTTGCCAAATATTTAGGCTCATTATCATGCCTAATATATGGCTTATTAGCATGTCTAGGAACGTAAAATTTATTTTACAATAATGCTATTCAAAAACAGATATAGTCTTTAAAAATTTCTACCAAGTTGTCAGGCATAGACCCCCCTAGAGACCCCCATTCAAACCTCTATGTAATGAGTTTAGTTAAGTTAGAAATTTGGTACTACAAGTGACAGTTCATAGATATAGAAAAGCTCAGACTTCAAACCATGCAAGTTTATTGTAACCCTTTACCCATCTCCACATCAGTGCCAGCAAATTCACCTTTTGAGAAAAAACTCAAAATTTTTTTCTGCCAAAGGTTAAGCAAAATTATCAGAGTGAAAATTTGCAGTTAAGGACAGCTTAATGCCATAAATGTTTATTAGGCATTTCACTAGACTATTATCTCCTGTAAGTATATGCAAGGTGTGCTATATAGCAATCACTAGTAGCATTGTATTTGCAAATACAAGCAGAATGTAACCAACATGTCTTTAATTATATAATTACATGAATGTTAAAATTGGTTCATGTGTCATGCTTACTGGTTATGATAAATATCTTTTCATATGATCAAAGCTTGTTTAAATGTAAATCTAAAATAATTTAGTTTAGAAATTATAATGATCATCAGAAAAATTACCTAGTGATCATGAAAAATACTTTGCTGTTTTGCCAAATTTCAAGGTTTATCTGCATACATAGAAAGACATTTTTACTTTATAGAAAATGCTTTTCATACATCAATAGCCCTTTGGAATTTATGGCAAACAATCTGGTATGAGCCGTTGATTAACACACCTTTACATCTCTACATGAGGTGTTCAGTTAGAAAAGGGGACAATATGTGACATGGGACAACATTCCATGTATGTGAAATACTCAGGTTTAATACCATTCCAGTCAAATTGTCAAAATAAAAAGCTTCGTGAAATCGGTGGCAAAACCATTCCAAATTTTACGTCATGTTTTATTAATTACTTGAGAAAACTAAAGCCTTTCATTGCTTTTCCAATGAAATGAGAAAAAACATTTGCACAACAGGAGTGAAAGTCGGCCTGGCTTTGCCAACCACGGTCCAACAGCGCAATAATTAAACAATTCCCAGTTACATATAATTCTTTATAACTTTATCAATCTTTTTGCGACACACAGGGCAGGGTTTATTAGACTCCTTCAGTTTCCGAGCACATGCAACGCAGCATACCTGATGGCCGGTCATACCATGAACGATACAGCCATTGGGCGGTTCCTTGTAGCAAAGGAAACACCTCATTCGATCATGGCCATCAGTTGAGTCCGAGGCAGTTTCATTGGCCACAGTCGTGGAGACGGGGGGAGTATGGTTTGTTGATGGTGGAACAACCGTATTCAACTGGCTGGTTGACGAAGTTGTACACACTGAGTGTAACACTATATTTAACACAGAAGAAGATGCACAATTCAACCTCAATGATCAAAAGCTTTGCAATGACTAATTGTTCAGTGAGACCATTTTGCTTTGCGAGCCTTCAAAAATGAGCCTTTGACATATTATTAATAACTAAAAAAGCCTTCGTAGTCCATGCGCGAGTTCGTTTTGTCACGTGTATCTCCTATTCGAATCATAAACCGAGTTGAAATCCGAGATACAAGAAAATTTGCTGTGGAATTCATGGTTTCGCACGAAGTAATCTGCCGTAAAGATAAGTGGGATCCTGGATGCAAGAGGAAAACTGAAAGGATGTACTGTACGTAGGAATAGAGGGTAAAAGAACAAAATCACTGCAAAATAGTTTATCGTAAACAACATACCATTTGCCTGATCTATTCGAACATTTTCGCGACGAGTTTGACCAGGATCTGAATAAGTTCTAAAATAACAAATCAATCCTAACTTATTACAAAAAATCCACAGTATACACACATGAAACAAGATAATGGTAAAGGTGCCAGCACGAGCTCAACAATGGGATGTTACATCCCAAAATGTCTAATCAAGAATAATCAATCCTTACGAGAAGATCGTAACACAAACATCTTTTTACCTTTCCAAAGTGGAAGCAAACCAATCCTTTCTCTTAGACCAGCAACGTCGACAGCGTCGAGTCATCGGGTGATTTCTTTCCGAGCAGGCTTCACATTGCCATTTATCTTCTTCGTCTATTTCCGAGTCTGAGCTATCGCTGTTTCCAAGTTCATCTCCGCCATCTTCTCCTTCGTCAACCTCTTGACTACATGAAGTTCTTTCAGTTTCTGAAAACAAACACGAAAACTCAATAAACACAAACAAGTATAAAGTTAGTATACACTCGAAGTAATTCAGAAAAAACAAATTAAAACCAAACATTTAGTCATAAAACAACTCGTACCATGCTCTAACACCAGTCTTTCTTCTTCGCTATAAGACATTGGTTCGTATTCCGATAAAAATTGTTCTTTACCATTGCTGACTGTATCGTTCTCTGATCCATGGTTTACTAAAACCTCACTATCAGTAATGTCACTTTCAAACGGTCGTACTATTCGTTCTTCTTCAGTTTCTACACAATGCCATCGATGGAACAAAGTCAAGCATGAAAGTGACAAAGTGCTAAGGTGCACAAAGCAAAGCAGTTTAACTCACCATACAAAAAGAACAAATCATCAGATGTATCCGTTACAATATCTGTAGAATTGTCTCGCATACTTTGATAATGTATAGCATATTCTGCCTTGTTAATGACTTCCTCTTTGTTGTTTGTGTCTTTAGAACCGTGTCCGATATCAACATTTATGATGAACAATGTAAAAACGTTGACAAACGTCATCAATTTATGCCTTTTCAAAATATAAATGAACAAAAACATGCTAAATCAATTTATATATCTCGTAATTATAAACAATTTAATGTGTGATTAAAATTCATAACTTTTCTTTGTTTTTGGCAAACTTTCACGAAATCGAAGTAAATATATATATATCTGTAATTTTAACATCCAGGTGATTTTGGGAAGTCCAAATAAAAATACATTTCTCTGCACTCATTTGACTATATCCTTCCTTGTTGTTTAAAAAAAATATTCAAAATGTTGCTCTTCAAAATAAATACTGAAGAACTATGCTTCGAAAATCCAGTGCCATAGCTAGAACTTCAACTGGGGCCTGGGGTATATATTCCTTATTCAGTTGTGCCCAACTAATTTCTTTGAAATTAAATAGGTTTTGGGCACAATCAAATACATGAAAATACAACCTCCCAATAATGTTCTAGCTACGGCCTTGCTTCAATTCACATATGTATTCCTATCTGACATCGGGTTTCACTATTCTTTAAGATCACCTCAATTTCTATGTTAATAAGATAAAACACAGTGAACTAAATTTTGCAAAAAAGTAAAATGTCATTGAACCTGTGAATGCAACATCATATTCAAATTCTCGTTTCTTTCTCACAGATGGTTGAGGCAATGGCTTGCTACAACAGGCCTGATCACTTGCTGACTGCAAGTCACTATCACTGCAAGGGCAACTTTCTGTTGAGGATGTAGATTGTAAAGATACGGACCGACAAGCAGCGATGGATCTTTGTTGTTTGAAAGAATGAGCATTTTCTGAGTCCCTCGCTGATGGAAAACTCTCAAGATTTTGTAGAAGTAGATCGCTAAGTTAGATCAAAATTTGAAAATTATGAATTTCGAAACAATTAAGAGCTGTGGCAGTTGGAAGATACATTTGCCAACATTGTGAACTTTCAATTATAAAACCTTACAATGCACTTTCTTGACATTAATCTGTCCCCTGTGTGACTACACTATCACAAGTCTCTTGATGAAAACAAAAACTGAAGGTCTATTTTGTAATGCCCTTTAGATTGTGTTTACAAAACATAGCAAAGCTCTTTGGAATACCATTTGAATATCTGTTCATGTTAATTCTACTTACCAAACATTGGAAGATGAAAACTGCTTGCATCCAAATATTTCTTCCAATTCATCGTTTTCACAATACACTTTATGAGGATCAGCAGGATCATACAAACACTTCCTTCGAATATATTCTGTCAACTGCCCCAACACCTGAAAATATATATGCTTATTCAGCACACCATACAGAGAGCAAAAGCTTTGATAGAAAGTGCTTGAGGTATATTACAACTTCCAAAAATACAAAATATTATATGATACCATACGTCATTGCAACTAAGAAATAAAAGATGTTTACTGTGTTTGCACAGGCTTATGCAAACCGTGGAGACCTTTGGGAGAACTTGAGGGCTGATTAGTGCAAGCCCGAGACCAAAGGTCGAGGTTTGCACCTGCTCAAGATTTCTCCCAAACGTCTCTGATATTTTCATAAGCCAGTACAAACACGAAAAACATCTTTTATTTCTTTTATAAAATAACAATAATGCGAAACAGACAAATTTAAAGTAAGCGTTTTAATTTTTCTTCTAAATTGTATTCATGATTGATTTGCAAATTCTCTTTGACTGATTGATTATTATGATTGATTTGATTGCTTGAGCTCAAATGTGTTTTGCACAGGTTAATGCAACACAGCTCTTGACCAATCAGCGCACACGTTTCATTGTGTTCATTTTATAAATTGTAATCACAAGTGCACAACTTGCACAAAGCTATTAGACTATATAGCACAAGTCTACAATACAACCATTATCATTTTATATGAATATAGAATACTAATTGCAAGAAATACCATCTGCTATACCTCAGCTCTGGTGAAAGTGTCAGCTTTCACAACAAGGTAATCCAAGATAGGTTTCATTTTTGGTAGCACTCTTACCTATGAATAACATATTGTTTCATTTAGATTGTAGCTACTTCCATATTAAATTACATCATACAAATGGCCGAGAATTAACCCTTAACATAAACGCTAGAGAGGTGAATGGGTTAAGTGCTTAAAACTGAATTTAACTGTAACTATATTAATCTTCAATATTTTACAAAAAACTTTTTGTGTTTTGTACAGTCCTGAATTTTCAGTAACAATAGTATGTATTATAGTTTGTGCGAAAAAAATCACGTTTCAATTATGAGTTATCACGAAATATCCTTCGTTATTTAAACAAGGGAGGCGTGTTAAAAATCAAAAAGTTAATCAGAAGTCAGTTACTTAAAAAAAATACTGTAGAATTCCCACAGCAAACGAGTACCATCTCACATGTATTGCATGATGAGAGTAGAATTGTAGAAATCAAATCATTCACGGCAATACATACACAAGCATATATATGCCAATAAATACCAAATTATCAGCCATGATAGAGAATGTTTGTCTGGACGGAAACTTATAAACAAAAACAGAGGCCATATTACAATAGTTTCAAATTCTGGGATGTATACATACGAAGAAAAAAACATTACCAGAGCTGGTACGTTCGGAGTGCTTTCAGTCTTGTCTCCACGGCAAGTTGGTGAATGAGGTCCTCCCTGTGGATGCCTTTTACATCGCCTTCGTCGTTTTCTTTTACGCCTGTAAGTAAGTTGTGAGCTTTCTCCAACAAGCTCAATGCTGGCTTGATCCATTTACTTTGCTAAAAACACAACCTTCTCGAAGTTGCGAAGTTCAACATGCTTTTGTAGATACTATTAAGTGGCTGTATACAACGCTAACATGCTTTGTTAAAATATCATGGCTAAAGAGAATTTACGTTTTTAACAGAAAATTAACAACTTACCTAAAGTGGCAAATTATGGGAATTTGTAACAAATATGGAAGGGAAAAACTTATAAAAAAACTTAGAGATTCATTGAACAACTGTGATTGTGCCCATAGATGTGATTTTAGTTGGTTCGACTCCTATTAAGTTAAGTTAAGAACTTAAGATTCTGTGACAGTCGTGGCAGTTGTCTCAACGTCGTATGATTATCATTAAAATTCTCATTACATATTTCTGATCTTGACGTCCATCGCACGAACATGTTTGAGCACATCACATATTGACGTTCAATATGAAGGATATAATTGGTCAAAAACATATTACAAGTAAAACAAATATGTATATTTTCCCGCTTAAACGCTCATATAACCTCATTCAATGAATTGCTCAGTTAGTTGTTAACGACTACATCCTTCAGTGTAACTTCAACACAACTTTAACTTAGGTATTTCTAACACCATCACTAGTCTGGTGCCATAATACATTCTGAGATTAGCGCGCGACATCAGGAACGTAGCCAGGGGAGGACAAAAAGGGCAATCCTCCCTCTTTTTGTGACAATTTCGAATTGATATCAATAAGTTGCTTTTTTCGACACGTCCTAAGCGACTCCCTCACCTATTTATAAATCCTGACTTTCACCCTAGGACCGGTGTAGTTTATAATATTCTACAAGTATGCAATGAACTGTTTAATGAACACGAAAGATTAGTCAACACTAACACCAACAATCAATCTCGAGACTCTACTAACTTGGCCATTTTACATCTACAAACATTTCACTCTCCTCCTGGGTTAAAATCTTTCACGTTGAACAATTGCTTAAAGTATTATCAAAGTAATCTTACCTCTTCAATACACTTGATCATCTTTCACGAGAAGAAAGATCTTTTTTCTTCCGGCATTGTGGACTCAATCAAATACAGTTTAATGATTTATTTCACAATCGACACCAGATAGATTACTTAAAAACACATTGTGCATGTACAATTTACGCGCAGTCATTTTTAAAGTGAGACTGCATAAAGACAACTCGGCCAAAATACTTAGTTTTTTCATAGATTTGGTGGTTTATCTACCATACTTGACAATAAAGACAGCGTTTGCTACACTTTCTTTCTATATTCCTAAATCACTACCAATTTGTAAGTAACTATTCATATCTCTAAGAATCTGAAAAGACCTACTGTTTATTTCAATCGAGAAATCAACGACGAATCTCAGATTATTCTTAAAAGAAACAAATTATAGGCAAAATAATTTCCTCTAGTGATAGAAATACTCTCAGTTAGCACCGTCAACAATAGATGCTGTCAAAATCTGATGCAAAGATACATGAATTAAGGAATGAAGTCCACTTCGCTTACTCATCTTTCTCTACCCTGCTCTTCCTATGAATTATTCCTTGGAACGACTTCTTAAAGCTTCTCTTCTTTTTCACTTTTTCGCGCGACTTTCCACCGGAGCTTTCATTCTCTTCTTTATCAGCAGCACCTTAGTGAACGAGACAATAAGATAGTACCGTTCTACATCTTGTTAAATTCACATGAATAAATTCAAGGTAGCCTTATAGCCATGCCTTCCTCGCTGACATCTTCCTTGTCGTCGACATCGACATCATTGGAAGGAGGAGAGAGTAAATTCTTCTCACTAGTTTGCTCTTCACCATTCACAATAACTTTTTTCTCAACAGTAGTCGTTACAGGTTCGCCGTCACTTTTAACCACAGTACGACTGGTAGTCACAACTTTAGTGCTTTTTGTGGACGTTGTTGTGACTAAAGGCTTTTCTTCCTTTGTTTCCCCACCATTGGAGCCTTTCTCGAAGAAACTATTCGCATCATTCGATGGTTCATCATTGAAAACGCTATCTAATGGAATCTCGCTCATAACTTGTTTTGCAGGCTTGCTTGCTGTAATCGTTCCTTGAACGATATTGTTGTCAACATCTGGCTTTCGTGACTCCTTAACAATACAAAAAAATTATGGTATTTTGCATAGCATTTCATCTGTATTTCCGTTTTACAAATAAAAAATTGAATATGTTTTCTTGACAAAACATGCATGTCAAAGAGACTGTACTTTTATGTAGATCCTGTGAGCAGTGGCTGACATTAGATGAATTATTGGTGGAGGAACTTCTTCATGAAATATTGGGTAGAGGGGTACACTTGATGAAATATTGGGTAGAGGGGTACACTTGATGAAATGTTGGTGAGACGGGATACACTTGATGAAACGGGATACACTTGATGAAACATATGGGAGGAAGACACTCAAATAAATAATGGGGAGGGGAACAATAAATGAGTATTATTTCAACGATATAATACTAACCTCCATAATTTTCACAACTGTTTCTTTTTTAGGTTTGCTATCTTTCAATATGGCAGGTTCGGTATGAGAATCAATTATTAATTCCTTTTTATATTCAGTGCCTTTCACAGGAGAATTCAACCACTTGGCGCGATTCTTGTAAGTATTCCCTTTGGCTTGTGACCCAGTGTGCGAATTATTTCAGAAAAAACGATGTGCAATTTTTTTGACAAAAGTGTTTCTTTATAGGCATAATCAAATCGATATTATGTTAATTATTATATAGCGCTAATTGCTAAATTAATGTTTTCAAACGTGAACAAATTCGTATGATTTACGACAGTGTTTTTCGTTGAAACCGCTGATTTTTGCACATCGTTTGAAAAAGTGATGTGCAATTGTTTTCATTTTAGCTAAAACAAATTGCACATTGCACATCGTTAATTGTACGTTAATTGTACGTAAATCGCTGGTACGTTTTACATTGGATGAAATTGTATTCTCGATATTTATCAGAGTATTCATGCAAGAACCTAAATTCAATGACTATACAATTGATGAATGTTATGCTATGAAAGACTTTGTTGAAAAGTTTTGGAAATTATGTATTAGACATGGATATTTATCCAAATATATTGATGTAGTTCCTGATAAAATGACGACAATATAATTTTACTTTTTAAATATATTTTTATAACTACAGCATATTTGAGTATTTTTCTTCTCATTTTTACATTTTCGAGCATACACTTTCTTAATTCTTGGAAAAAACATTTTAGATAAACTTAACAATTTTTATCATTTTCTAAAGTCGAATTATGATTAATTACATTTAAAATATTCATTTTTAAACATTTTTGTAACAAAAAAAAACAAACACCAAGGGCCGGTTGTATAAAGCTCTTAACTACTTTTTAACTACACTTTTTGCAGTTAAAAAGTAGTTAAATTTAACCACGCGGTTAAGTCGGTTGTATAAAAAAGTAGTTAGCGCTAACTGCAGTTAAAAGTTAGTTAAAGTTAACTTTGGCGGCTACACAGTTAAATTTTACAGTTAAATATGGCGGCTTAGCTTCTCAAAGACAATTATGGGCTAGATGTTGTTGATCAACAAGGTTTTACCTTGAGTTTTTAATCACAAATGTATCTTCCATGGCAAAGGCTTTTAGAATAAAAGCTTTGTGGACGTGTACTACATTCGTCAGTGCTGTAAACATCCCAAGTTTTGCTGACGAAAAATAGCCAACAACTTATCCGCATAACAAATCCCTTTTTACACAAGAGCAATTGCATTTTGTATTGTCTTTTTTTGCGTCCGGTAGCTCTTTCAACTCATAAGTGAGACTCTCAATTGAGATAGAGCCACTTCTTAAAGATTAGTGCTCACAACTCGCTGACATTTTCTTACAAACAGGTACAATTCGTTCAATGACAAAAAAAAAGAAAGAATTTTATTCGAGTAATGAATCCTATAGCCTTGGATGTATCAAATATTCAAATTGCGGGTTTTTCCCTATGCATTTTGCTTGATTGAATATCATATACATCATATAAACACATTGCTCTATGGAAAATAAGCTAGATTATGTTAAAACAAAGAGGTACTACAGTATAAATGTTGTGCTAAATATACCAATGATAATACATATAGATACATGAGCTTTACAACAGTTTTTATTCATGACTACTCTTTTGTGTATCAGCTGCATGAGATACAATGATGTTAGTTTCTTAAATACATAAAACATTTCATTAGCATGCAAGGTGAAGGTCCATGTTGCTTAATATATATATACATTATCCATTGCACATGGTTTATTACACAAGCAGAAAATATACATGACAGTCAATTAGTGGGTTTTATTGATATTCATCATATATTTCCTATGTAAAAATGTTTATTTTTAATGTACATACAATCTTGGCTGCCAATATTTTTATAAGAAGCAAAAAGCTCTAGCTGCTGTTTGATGATTTAAAAAATATGAAAAAAATTAAAACTCCCAAGCTTTAGACAAAAATAGGCTAATAAATAACAAAGGCATAAATAAAACACGATATAAAAAAATCCTTGTGTGATCATATAACCTATATGCGTTTATTGTGTTTTGTGTTTTAAGTCCTTGTTAGCGACAGACAAATGAGGCATAGACTTGACAATCAATACCTACATGGAGCACGTAACAGTAAACCGTAATGCTAAAACTTAACCCTTTGCTGCATGGCGTTGCTTCAGAGCAACAATCACCGAACACGATGGAGCTCGAAGCGAACAAATGCATGCACCAAAGGGTTAAGGTGCTTTTTTTATTTTGTTCTCTTTATGTCCATCGTTCTTCCACCTTATTGGTATAAAGGTGTTAATTGAGATCTGATGGTGTGGTCAACTTAGGACATGAAGAACATGAATCCTAATCTCGACTCAATAAACAGATATACAGTCATACAGATATTTGGCACCCAGACCACACCTGTGTCAAACCATTTAACACCTAACCATCCAAATGATTAGTGCTAAATAGAGTGAATGAGGTGTTAAACAGTTTTACAGAGCTTAGTAAATCAAACACCTTGCGTTGGTAAATTACCTAGGAAGTCACACGCGAAGTCTTCCCGCGAATATTGTCTTGCTTTGTAAATTATATAATTGCTTATATGCTGACAAAACAGTTGTGTATCGAATTGTTGTGTGATTTTTGATCTCATAAAATTTTGTTATATGTTGGCTAATACTTACTGTAACGTGAGGTGCACTAACTTGCTCGCAAATTTAACTTTGAATATTGAGATGCTGATTGTTACGGTGGCTCACAAGGGCCACCACATAATTGATAAAATAAAAATATTAATACACACACATAATAAAAATATACACACAAAATACATTATACACACACAAAATAAAAATACACACGCAAAATACATTATACACACACAAAATAAAAATACACACACAAAATAAAAATACACACACAAAATATGATTGCGGGCGCTTGCAGTGTCGGCTTACTCGGAATTGCTCGTAATTGATCGTTTTTGTTTTCAAAGTTCTAATGGTTCCAACTTCCAGAGTACATAATAAAATTCATTGATTTCACTGTGATCAATTATTTCAAAGTTGCTTACGATATTGCTCCCCGTATTCTGGTTAAAATTAAGCTTAATGTGTTGTCCTGGTTGAGGCAACAATTCCGGCTCAGTCTCGGAATCAAACACGTACGTACTGTGATGATTGTTTATCAGAGCAAAACATTACACGCTTGATAACAGGTTATTTCAATCGTGGTTATCCGTATGGGGCAATCGTCAGACTTTTGCAAACCTCCGGTATTCTGATGTCTATACGGACGTTGAAGCGCCGCTTCAGATCTTTGGGCTTAAGACGAAAAGGACAAGTCGTTGATGAACAAAATGTAAGAAATGTTATAAACCAGGAGATTCAAGGACGACTGTCTGGCTATCGAAGTATTTGGCATGCATTAAGACTTCGTCATGGTATAAATGTGAGTCGTCACGTAGTAGCCAGAGTTATGAAGGAAATCGACCCAGATGGCGTGGAAACAAGAAAGGCCAGACGATTACATCGTAGAGTATATAAAAGCCTAGGAGCAAACGCTTGCTGACACCTCGACGGTAAGATTACATTAATGTAGTTTCTATGAACCTAGATTGGAGGGATTATCTGCAAGATTGCGAAGGTAATGTAAGATAGTTCATTGACTATATTTCTAGTTTACAGTATTTACAAAATCCTGTAGTACTAAGATGTTAAGTTAGAACTTGTAAGTATGCATTATTATTTCTGCAGTTGAAAAATTAAACACTGCTAGTTGCTACATCAACATGTATATTGCTCTCTGTTTAGCTGGATGATGTGGTGCTACTTTGGGAGATGTACTAATCTTTGCAACAGGAAGTGATGACATCCCACCTCTTGGCTTTACACCAATGCCTTCACTATGCTTTTGGGAAGACGTTCGTCCAAGATCAAACACGTGTGATACCACACTTTATCTCCCTCTATTCCCTGGTTCAAAGGATGAAGTGCAATATGATACTTTTAAAGAAAAAATGGATGATGGAATTTTAAATTCTCCTTCTTTGGGATTCCATAAAGTTTTTTAGCAGTTTTTTATAACAAGTACATATTCAATTAGTTCAAAGTTCTTATAACGTGTTTATAACACCAAATTTTAAGTTTAGTGGCGGAATGCTACGTTTTAGCATAATGGTATTCAACAATTTACAACAAATCATGTTTCATAATATAGTTTTATTTGCTTTGCAATTGGTTGCAAAAACCTTTTTGCAACAGTATATTTCTATTTCATCCTTATGGCATGGGTATCATTATGCCAAATACTTCTTACATGGTAACTTTTCATGTTTGTAGATGTAGATTGTCCAGGTTAGTAGAGTCCTGAGAAGGACTATTGCTGTTGATGTTGACTGACGTTTCGATTTGACTCGGAAGATGCTTATTGCTAAGGTTGTTGAAATGTCAGTCAACATCAACAATAACAGTCCTTCTCAGGACTCTACTAACCTGGACAATCTATATCTACAAACATGTAACGATATTCCTGGGTTCAAACCATTTACTTTATTTAACTTTTATTATGTTGTGTGATAATCTATATAATTAACACTAACTTCATTGTGGTACATTAATTAAATGTTGAAAAATTTTAAATCCTTCATTTATGTCTTCGGGATATGCCAAATTTTTGTTTTCCAAGACATAATCAAAATATTCTTTGTAAATGTCCTCACAAATGCATGGGTCAATTCTCTCTTCCATTTCATTCAGCTTATCAGCAGAAATCTCTATTAGGCAGTTTTCACCCCCATAGTATTCTGGCAGAAAGAACAAAATGTCTGGAACTCCTGATACGGTTTCATGCTGCGACCTACAAATGTAGTGGCTATTTCAGTGATCTTTTACTTTTGTTAAATCTTTTTGCAATAACATGTTAAAACAAAACCACAGTGCCTCCATGTGGTAGGTATTGCCCAGCTCTAACAAACCTTTTTGTGCCATATCTTGGAAAAAGTCAATCCACCAGCCTGACCCAGTTCATCTCAGGAAAGACCACCATGCTTCAATTCTTTGATTTGAAGGAGAGGATCCATAAACATGAGCTTTCTCCCCTGCCCATTCATCATCTCCATCAGCTCTCAGGTAGCATTGCATTGCAGACAATAAAACATTTTCTGTCCCACAATGTGCAGCCTCCAAACTCCTTAACAGCAATAAGAAATATTTCTGCAATTACATTTGGATTTTTGTTTGATCTGACAACCTCAAGCCACAGAATTCTTCTGCTGTAACCACAAACAGCACCATGTACTGCAAACCCATATGGTTTGAGTTTGTCATATCCTTAAAAAGGGAAGAGTTTGTTAGACATTTGCACTCAATAATGTGCTACAAAAAAGCTAGGTTTGGGTAACTGTTCCCCATTATCTATAAGTTTGATCAAAAATTCATAGAAACTACATTAATGTAATCTTACCGTCGAGTTGCCAGCAAGCGTTTGCTCCTAGGCTTTTATATACTCTACGATGTAATCGTCTGGCCTTTCTTGTTTCCACGCCATCTGGGTCGATTTCCTTCATAATTCTGGCTACTACGTGACGACTCACATTTATACCATGACGAAGTCTCAATGCATGCCAAATACTTCGATAGCCAGACAGTCGTCCAGCACCTTAAATCTCCTGGTTTATAACATTTCTTACATTTTGTTCATCAACGACTTGTCCTTTTCGTCTTAAGCCCAAAGATCTGAAGCGGCGCTTCAACGTCCGTATAGACATCAGAATACCGGAGGTTTGCAAAAGTCTGACGATTGCCCCATACGGATAACCACGATTGAAATAACTTGTTATCAAGCGTGTAATGTTTTGCTCTGATAAACAATCATCACAGTACGTGTTTGATTCCGAGACTGAGCCGGAATTGTTGCCGCAACCAGGACAACACATTAAGCTTAATTTTAACCAGAATACGGGGAGCAATATCGTAAGCAACTTTGAAATAATTGATCACAGTGAAATCAATGAATTTTATTATGTACTCTGGAAGTTGGAACCATTAGAACTTTGAAAACAAAAACGATCAATTACGAGCAATTCCGAGTAAGCCGACACTGCAAGCGCCCGCAATCATATTTTGTGTGTGTATTTTTATTTTGTGTGTGTATTTTTATTTTGTGTGTGTATAATGTATTTTGCGTGTGTATTTTTATTTTGTGTGTGTATAATGTATTTTGTGTGTGTATTTTTATTTTGTGTGTGTATTAATATTTTTATTTTATGTGGTGGCCTTTGTGAGCCACCGTAGATTGTAGTACTCGACTTTTGGGGGGAACTGAACATCCGGTTTACTTTATCCGACTCCAAAATAAAGTATTGCGAAGACAGTTGCACTTAAGTAATAAAAGATATGTCTCGTGTTTGCACTGGCTTGTGCAAATGGAGGACATTTTTGAGAAAACTCGATAGGCAGATCAATCGAGAGCGAATGTCGACGCTTTCGCATCTGCTCGGTGCGTCGTGCATGCAGTGGGGCAGCCAGCCTGCAAGTTTGGTCGTACCATGTCAATTTTTTGTGTTGAATCTCTAGAATGACACAGCTAAAAGAATTGCTTGCTGTTATGATATACTCACGTTAGATTTGTTTACATTCATATTCATATGCAAATTGTTATAGAATCACGTGATATGTAAATTACCTCGTGGTATGTAAAATGAATTTTTATTAAAGAGTTCAAGTCGATACTACAACATGGTGTCAGAAGTTGTGGATTTTTAAGCCATTTTCTCAATCAAATATCGCTAGAAACAAGCTTTAAACATATCAATGGATAACCTACGTGGTATACCGTTTCCGTCAATGTATTGGACAGCCAGAAATCTTCCAGAAACCTTCAGAAAGTTCAAGAGGAATTGCGAAATCGTGTTCGCTGGACCGTTAAATGATCAAACCGAAGCCGTAAAAGTAAACTATCTCAAACTCTTTCTTGGTGACGAAGGACAAGACATAATCGATGGATTGGACCTCACAGCCGACGAAGAAAAGGAGCTTGACAGCTATTGGTCAAAACTTCAACAATACGTGCGACCGAAGACAAATTTTCGCGTGGTCCGAGCTCAGCTCCGTGAATTAAAACAAGCGCCAGATGAGACAATCGACAGTTTCATGACAAGAGCCAGAATACTCGCTGATGATTGTGAGTACAAAGACAAAGAAGAACAACTAATCGACACACTTATATTTGGAGTTAATTCAAACGAGGTTCGCAAGAAATTACTCACCAAGGATAGTTCTTTGAAGCTCCACGACGCCATGAAAATAGCTCGCGCCGAAGAAGCTTCACAGAAACACGTGACCGCCCTCCAAGAAACTAAAACAATAAGCGCTGTAAAATCTACTCCTAGAAACCAAAACCATCAATATCATCAACGTAGCCAGACAACTCAGTCCCAAAAGTCACCGTATCGCCCAAACGTCAGACAAAATGGATGTCTCAACTGTGGTCGCGCTCACAATCGTGACGATATATGTCCAGCCCGGAAGGACAATTGCAACTACTGCGGAAAACGGGGACATTGGGAAAAAGTTTGCATCACAAAGCAATATCGCCAGATGGATAGGAGCCAGCAGAACCCTAGACGCGAACCATCAGCCAAAACACATGTCAATTCCTTAGAATACGCCGGAGCGTCATATGATGACTACAATGACACAATTGATCTCACCTTTGACTCCTTAGAGTACTGCGCCTTAAAGGGAGAGGAACTGTTCTCTACTGTCAGAATTCACGGAGAAAGAGGACCGTACAATCTCCGCTGCAAGGTGGACACCGGAGCGCCTACCAGTGTGATTTCAAAGAAAATCTACCGCGAGCTATTCCCTAATGATTTTGATAATTCCGGAAAGCTTAAGCCAGAAACAAAGATTATGCCTGCCCAAGTCAAAGTTAAGACATACGGTGGTTCAGAACTACAACACATTGGGTATTTCACCACAACCATACGCCATGGCCGAGAAACCGCGCAAGCCCAGTTCCTTGTGACAGAAACTGATGATACCCCTTTGCTTGGTCTACCTTCTCTACGCCAGTTGAAATTGATCAAAGAGACCTGTAACACAGACTGCACCTTGTGTAATAGCCAAACAGACATATGCCAGATTAAGACCCAACAAAAGCCCATCCAGATTTCAAAAGACTCCCCTTCTTAAGCATTATCCTGAATGCTTTAAGGAGATTGGAACACTTCCAGGAAAATACAAGATACCCATACGAGATGATGCTATTCCGTGTAAGGACGCCCCAAGATCCGTGCCAGAAAGTCAGCGTGAACCACTCCGCAAGGAACTTCGACGCATACAAGACATCGGTGTCATAGAGAAAGTCGACGGACCCACAGACTGGGTTAGCAGCATCGTGGTAGTGCCAAAGCCAAACGGCGATGTAAGGATCTGCCTGGATCCTAAGCGACTCAACGATGCGATCAAACGTGAGCACCACTACATCCAGAAACTCGAAGACGTGCTACCCCAACTCAGTAACGCCAAAGTCTTCAGTAAACTTGACGCCAAATCTGGGTATTGGAATGTGGTCCTTGACGAAGAATCAAAGCTCTTGACAACCTTCAACACTCCCATGGGTCGCTATTGTTTCAAACGCCTCCCATTTGGTTTGGTATCTGCACAGGATATCTTCCAGAGAAAGATTGACGAAACATACGACGGATTGCCAGGAATCTGTTAGATTTAGAGGTTTTACCGAACATCAGATAGAATCATAAAGGAGTTTGACAACATAACGATTGACAATATATTTTAACATAACATGTGCTCTCTTCTATATGGCAGAACAACAACGATATTACGTAACAGTAGTCACGTGGACTCGTAATATACATAAATGATTATTATAAATATGTTTCCCCTTCTAACACTCCCACTTAATAATCATAGTATATTTAACAAATTTAACTAATAGTGTTCATAGATAACATAGTTCTCAAACTTCCATAAGTCCCAGTTTGCTTCTACATTTTTCAAAATTAACTTTTGTTAATCCTTTAGTCATTACATCCGCTAACATATCTTCAGTTCTACAATACTTGATAGTAATGTTCTTTTTCTCAACTTGCTCTCTGACGTAATGATACGATATATCGATATGCTTTGTTCTATTATGAAATTTTGGATTCTTAGTTAATTCAATCGTTCCTTGATTATCTTCATATAGGATGGTGGGGCAATCTTGTTTCTTTGAAATATTTTCCAGCAATCTTCTTAACCAAATCCCTTCCTGGCTAGTAGTACTCAGAGCAATGTACTCCGCCTCCGTTGTCGATCTTGCTACACATCCTTGACGTTTACTACACCAACTTACTGTGTTACCTTGTACTTGAAAAACGTATCCTGTTGTTGAACGTCGAGTTGTAATGTCTCCTCCCCAATCTGCATCCGAATATCCTGTCAAAATCGTGCTTGCATTTTTAGCAGTATAAACCAAGCCATAATTCAAAGTTCCTTTAATGTAACGAAATACTCGCTTCACTCCTTTCCAATGCTGTATACTAGGATTAGACATAAACTGAGACAGTATGCTGACGGCTGTGGACAAATCTGGTCTACTGATTGTTGCTGCGTACGTTAAACAACCAATTGCCTTTTGATAGGTTCGTCTATCAAATGATTCATTTTCATCTGACAATTTTTCATACTTCTTTCCTGTTTCCAAGGGTGTTGAAACAGACTTACAATTCTCCATCTCAAACTTCTTGAGCACACCTTCTAAATAATTTGTTTGAGTAATAGACATTGTTCGAGATCCTCGATTTCTTAAAATTGTCATTCCAAGGATGTGGTGCAGCTCTCCTAAATCTTCAATTTGAAATTTCATTGCCATCGCTTTTCTTGTTGCAACATCTTAACATCATTTGAAAAGAACATCATATCATCAACATATATCGCTACAATTACGAACTTAATTGTACGATCTTTAGACTTCACTGATTTGATGTAGATGCAGGGATCAGCGGTGCATTTCGTATAATCATTGGATAACAGATAAGTGTTAATCGCGTTATTCCAACATCTCGCTGCTTGTTTTAGCCCATATATACTTTTCTTTAATCTACAAACGTAATCTGGTCGTTCTTTATCAACAAATCCATTGGGTTGTTTCATATAAATCTCCTCTTCCAGATTTCCTTGTAAGAATGCAGTTTTAACATCGACTTGGTGGACTTCCCAGTCACAAATGGTGGCAACTGCAAGTAACGATCTTATCGAACTATATCTTACAACAGGTGCGAACACTTCTTCATAATCTATACCTGGTGATTGAGTGTAGCCTTGTGCTACCAGTCTACCTTTAAATCTTTGGACTGTTCCATCAGATTTTCTTTTGACTTTAAACACCCACTTACTACCAATCACATTTTTCTTTTCGGGTGGTGGTACAAGATCCCACGTATCATTCTCGATTAATGATTTGTATTCCAACTCTGTAGCTTTCTTCCATTCGTTACTGTTCTTTCCATTCCATGCTTCAGCGATAGCACTTGGCTCATAAATATCTGCGGTTAAATCTTCTCTGCAACTATATAATTCCTCATCAAATCTTTGTGGTGGTCGCCTTTCACGTCGTGGATTGATATTTTCCACATCTCTTAGAAAGTTATCTTCATACGTGGCTCCCACTGGACGATTACATGGTATTGGCACATTGTCTTCAGGATGATCCACTTCATTTGCAATTTCTCCCGTATGGTTTTCTGTATTGATAATTGCCTCGATTTCAGTAGTCTTATTAGTTGTGAGAGGAACATCTTTAACAAACTTATGGAATACACTCTCACGAAAGACGACATCCCGACTTCGGATAAACTTTTGACTGAGCACATCAAACAATTTGTAGCCTTTCGTCCCTTCAGGATATCCGATGAAGATACACTTCTTTGATTTCTCTGAAAATTTCTTTCGTTGACTTGCAGGCACGTGGGCGTAAACTAGGCATCCAAATACTCTCAGATTAGAAACATCTGGTTTCTTATTGAACAAGCATTCAAACGGTGTAACTCCATTAAGTGATACCGTCGGACTTCGATTTCTCAGATAGACAGCTGTATTCACTGCTTCTGCCCAAAATTGTAACGGCATATTACTGTGTGATAACATTGATCTGGCTGATTCAACAAGTGTCCGATTCATTCGTTCCGATACACCATTCTGTGCGGGATTATACGGCACAGTAAGTTGATGTGTAATTCCTTTCTGCTTAAGAAATTCTTTAAATTCTTTGGAACAATATTCCCACCATTGTCTGTCCGTAAAACTTTAACTGAACAACCAGTGATGTTTAAAACCATTGCATTAAATACTTTAAACTTCTCCAATACTTCATGTTTGTTCTTAATGAAATAAACATAAGTGTACCTTGAAAAATCATCAATAAAAAGAACAAAATACTTTGAACCACCAAGTGAATTTGTTGACATCGGTCCACAAACGTCACTGTGCACCAATTCAAACGGTTTAATTGCACGCTTTGCTTCCTTTTTGGGATACTTGGATTTATGATGCTTACCCATAATGCATCCCTCACATGGAGATTCTTCCTTAGGCGTAGTATCCATGCCAATAACCATATTATCATTCAGCAGTTTTGAAACATTGTTCATTCCAAGGTGACCAAAACGATAATGCCATAACATTAATTTATCATCTATTGCAACATTCACATAGTTACCTTCAATGATTTTCAATACATACAGTTTTTCCAGCATTATACCACTTGCCAACAACTTTTTACCTCTAAAGATTTCACATTGATCATCTTTGAAAGTAACACACGCTCCAAGCTTTATCATGGCTCTTACAGAAAGCAAATTCCTACCTAGATCTGGTACATACAACACATCTCGCAAACTTATCTTCTGAGGTCTTTCATTTGCATCAGCAATAATACGGCAAACCCCTTTACCATATGCAAGAATACTTCTATTATCTCCAAGATTAACAATTGATGGATTTGAAAATTGAACATATTCAATCAAATTGCTCTTATTATAGGTCATGTGCTGTGTGGCACCTGAGTCGATAATCCAGCTGTTATTATTCCATGAACTTGAGGTATACAATGCTTCGTCTTCCACCATATTATCATCATCTTCTTTCTCTACACACGTAGCAGATTCACCTTTCTTTCTTTCATTACTTTTCTTGTTCTTGTCGTCGAGGACCTTTTTCTTTGACAGTCACGAGCAAAATGCCCTCTTTCATGACAGTTGTGACACTTCCCTTTAAATACATATTGTTGCTTTCTTTCTCATATTTCTTCCAGCAGCAAATGCTCCTTCAGGATCCTTTCCGTCTTGTCGTCGATCAACATCATTTAACAACATGTTTTTCACTTTGTCGTAAGATAAGGAGTCATCACCTATTGCATCCAGGGCTGTAATCAAGGGTTTGAACTCTTCAGGCAAACTCGCTAAGAGTGTCATTGCCAGTTCTTTGTCATCAACTTCTACCCCATTTCTTTTAGCTGGTCATGCAATGTTCTTAAGTGACTAATATGCTCCAACATGCTTTCTCCTGAACGATAACGGCAAGCGTAGTATTGTTGTCTCAATCTCACTTTCTGTAACAGAGATTCTCTAGCAAATTGCTTCTTTAGAGCGTCCCATGCTTCTTTTGCAGTTGTGGTATGGCGTACATGAATTTGATATTCTGGTTCGATAGCCAGACAGATGTGAGTCCATGCCTTCTTCGCATTACGCGCAAAACTCTGACGAACTTCGGCACTTTCCGACGTAAGTTGAGCAGTACCCTCAGCATGTTCAAACAGATCAAGGCTTTCTAAGTATAAACGCATGTTAAAAGACCAGGTCCGATAGTTCGACCCATTTAACTTCGCAAATTTGAACGAATTCAATTCAGCCATATTGACTTTATATTCGACCGCAAAATACTTATAGAAATATTTTATAAAATCGTCGACTTGTTCGATTCACATGTAGACCATAGCATTCTGGGCCCATAACCTGTTAGATTTAGAGGTTTTACCGAACATCAGATAGAATCATAAAGGAGTTTGACAACATAACGATTGACAATATATTTTAACATAACATGTGCTCTCTTCTATATGGCAGAACAACAACGATATTACGTAACAGTAGTCACGTGGACTCGTAATATACATAAATGATTATTATAAATATGTTTCCCTTCTAACAGAATCATCTGCATCGCCGACGACATCGTAGTTTACGGCAAAGACGACAGGACACATGACGAAAATCTTTTGCGAGTGATGGAGAGAACCAAAGAACGTAACCTGTCTCTCAATTATGACAAATGCCACATCAAGCAGAGCAGCATTGGCTTCTACGGACACATCTTGACTAGCGAAGGAATCAAACCCGACACATCCAAGGTATCTGCCATCAAAGACATGAAGCAACCTCAGAATGTGAGCCAGTTGCTATCATTCCTGTCATCAGCCAAATACCTCGCTCCATTCACTCCAGATCTATCTGATCTCTGCGCACCACTCAACAAACTCACTCGAAAAGATGTTGAATTCCAGTGGGGACCTGAACATCAGGAAGCTTTCGAGCGAATCAAAGGCAACATCGCAAATGTTGGAGTCCTAGCTTATTTCGACCCGACAAGGCCTGTGACAATCCAGTGTGACGCATCAACGGAAGGACTCGGAGCCATACTCTATCAAGACAACAAGCCAGTAACAGTTGCCAGCAAGACCCTAACGAACACAGAACAGAACTATAGCAATATCGAGCGAGAGATGCTTGCCATAGTTTTCGCTTTGACAAGATTTCATCACTACACGTATGGACGCCACGTATTAGTGGAATCAGATCACAAACCCTTGGAATCAATTACTAAGAAACCAGTCTCATCTGCAAGTCCCCGGATTAAGCGAATGCTACTCAAGATCCAACCATATGACTACACTGTGAAATATGTTCCTGGAAAACAATTGCCAGTTCCCGACATGCTTTCAAGATCACCACTTCCTGGACCAGAGATACCTCAACTAGACGTCAGCATCGGATCTCTTGCACATATGACTACGAGCCGGCTCGAAAAAGTCAAGATTGCAACACATCTTGATCCGTTACTTCAGAAACTTACACACCAAGTCATGGTAGGATGGCCTGAGCATCGCCAAAACTGCCCCATCGACCTTCACCAGTTCTGGAATTTCCGTGACGAGATAGCTGTACATGATGGTATTCTCATGAAAGGTGATCGTGTAATCATCCCAAAGACATGCCAAGCCGAGATACTTCACCAGATACACACAGGACATCAAGGAATCGAGAAATGTCGACTTCGTGCTAGACAAGCTGTCTACTGGCATGGCATTGACAAAGACATCAAGGACATGGTAAAAAGATGTGCTTCCTGCCAGCAACACCAAACTTCAAATCCTAAAGAAACGATAATTCAACAAGAAGCACTGAAACCTTGGGAAGTCGTGTCATCAGACTTGTATCACTGGAACAATGCCAACTACCTGTTACTTGTCGACTACTATTCCTCATACTTTGTTGTGAGGAAACTATCATCAACCAGATCTTCAGACATCATCAGCAAACTTAAGGCCATTTTCTCTGAGTTTGGCATACCCCGAAAATTAGTGAGTGACAATGGCCCTCAGTATGCATCACAAGACTTCGAGAATTTCACCAAGGAATATGGATTCGAACACTCAACCAGTAGTCCACACTACCATCAAGCTAACGGGAAGGTTGAACGCTTCGTCGCTACTGTGAAGAATACCTTACAAAAATGCAAAGAAACGCATCAAGACCCAGCATTAGCTCTTTTGGCTGTACGAAACACACCAATTTCCTCTACAGTACCTTCACCAGCGGAACTTATGTTCCAACGTAAAATCGACGATGGACTTTCGTTCAAGAGTTCCTTTCACCAGACCGCTCAACAAGACATTTCTCAGCACAGACAACGCCATGTCCAGCGATACGACAAAAGAGCCCGCGATCGACCAGATCTTGCTATTGGCCAGAGTGTACGGATACAGAATCCAACCACCAAACTCTGGGATCCTGCTATTGTTACACAGAAACTAGTAGAACCAAGATCATATGAAGTCAAAGCTAGCAATGGAGCCACCTATCGCTGCAACAGAAGGCATATCAACACCACAAATGAAGACTTCACCAACACAGATACAGAAGACCTTACAACTTACTCAGAAACTGAACCGCTGCCAGACGATCCAGCAAGGACAACTTCACCCCCTTGTTGCGCAGTACCACAAGATAATATTGTCATAACCAGATCAGGAAGAATTAGCAAACCCCCACAGAGACTTATTAATATGTAGCTACTTGACATTAGAGAAAGGGAATGTTATGATATACTCACGTTAGATTTGTTTACATTCATATTCATATGCAAATTGTTATAGAATCACGTGATATGTAAATTACCTCGTGGTATGTAAAATGAATTTTTATTAAAGAGTTCAAGTCGATACTACAACACTTGCGCTCTAAAATGACACTGCATGCTAAATAGCACTTGGACACGGATCGTAAATCGTTTTAAAGATCGCAAATACCATGGTGAATGGCAAAAGTAATAAGTCAATAGTTCTTAAAAGAACTGTTTTAAGCACAGAAAACTAACCCAATAGTTCTAAAAAAACTGTTATGAAACTAAACCACAGAATGCATTTCGGCAGACTACTCCTCAGGTGTCAACGTGTGCTAAATGAAAAGCACGACGAAGTCTCTATTTTATTATACAAATAGTAACAAACAATAACATGGAGTGCTCTCTTTTCTGCAGTGTGAGGAGATTTACCCTCATCCAAGATGCCTGGAATCAAAATACGTGATGAAGATCGAGAAAAAATCAACGCGAAGTATATTTGTACTCGCTGTCATCTCCTCCTTGTCAATCCAATGCAGACAATGTGTGGACACTTGTTTTGTCAATCTTGTATTAACATTATACCTGGGTAAGATAATTTTCTGTCAAAACTGTCAACTGAAAGTGTGGTTTAAAGTTGTCGATTAAATAGATTATTTGCAATGTTGTATCTCATCCAATGTTGTATCGTGTGTTCCAACCACAGGTATAAGCTGATGTGTGATCATATATCCTAAATTGCCATATGGATTTACATGCCCCTATGTAGTTTCTCTTATCTAGGCGTCGTGATTTTTTATCTCTATGTGGTATCTTACATTTCATTTATACACGACGTATTCCGAAACTCTGACATCGAGGATGTCAGCAGCGCTCATTTTTGCTTGTTATACTTCACTTAAACATGATAATTAGAACCTAAATTTACGTTCATCATAGTTCAAGCAGTTTACCGAAGATTGTCTGTTCGGTTTCTTCAACATGATCTCTGTTTTACATTTAACATTTTTGCTACTTATTTTCATGTTCTTTTAATCTGTAGAGATCCTGATCCAAAATGTCCTGAAGATCAAGAAAAATTTTAAAAGGTTTTAAAAGGAAACTTCCATACAGCTTTATCAATTGTTGATTGAGAAACTCCTGTAAAATATTCTTCCATTCTCAACATCTTCATCTACTAATATGCAATTATTACACTAATCTTTGAACTTCTATGAAACTTATATACAGGTTTTCCTGATGCTTTTACGAAACGTGAGTTGAAAAGTATTCGTTTACATTGTCCTTCTGAACAATGTGAATGGTTTGGCAACTACGAAGAATTGGAAGTGAGTTGATAAATTTATTAAAAAAGTTTGGTATTTTTACTTATTAATTTTTTTTTGTCAGGGTCATTATCAAGTTTGTGAGCATGCGCTCATCAGCTGCGTACATAAGCAGTGTAACATTCAGTTACCTCGCTCTCTCCTTGGTGAACATTTGAAGAATGAATGTGAATATCGCAATGTAAAATGTGAATATTGTGGTAAAGATGTCCCGTATGCTTTACTTAAGGTATGCGGAATATTCTCAGGCGGATTAAAGGAAAATAGAATTGAGATATAGCCAAAAGTGCTAATCTGTGTTCATTACGATGTATTTATACCCGTTGGGTCATATCGTTGGACTGTTTGCACAAAAATACAGGAGTAAATTAAATGAGCGCTTTTCTCTTGTTTCAATATTTATAAAATTGTATGACTTTAAACGTCATTATATTTTTGTCTATCATTTGTTACCCACCATCTTTCTATATTTCAAGACATTATACCGTATTTTACTTTCTAAGTTTTGTTTACTTCATTTAACATTTAGGATCACATGGAAAATGTGTGTGAGTATTATCCTGTGGTTTGTAAATATTGTAAGAAAAGATACCAAGGAAAGATATTGAACAACATCAAAGTACGACATGTGATGAAGTGCCGACTAAATGTGAATTTCAAGCTATTGGATGTAACCATGATAAAGTAAGAGAATATAAAATGATTTGTTATCACATGTCCGCACTGAAGTATTCAACTTTGAAACTGTTTCTAAACAAAATTTTCATCAAGAACCCTTGACATGATTCTACATTTGTACTGTTGAATTACAAGTTCGCATACTTGATTTTATTAACACCCTGGTTGTTATAATTTTATTAGATTTAATTATATTTCAATATTTATATTTAATTATATTTGTTTTGAAACATCGATTTATTGTAGCTAATTTGTAATTTTGTGTGAGGAATATGTTGGTATTATCTTTGTCTTTTTTTCACAGACTATAAAACGAAGGGAGATCCGACAACATTTGAATGACAATCTAATTGATCATGTGAGCCTCCTGTTACGATATGTTATGGCATTTGTTACACAGTTAAGTAACTATGTACCACGTCCAGAGTTTACCACTGCTGTTCAAAACATGGCTGACCAAGTTACTGCTGTTCGTGCAGATCTTTCAGAGAAATTTGTTATGTTAGTGGGTAAACTTACAGGTCTTGAAAGAAGGATTGAGAGTCTCGAGGCTCGTGGTGATAACGATAGTAATAATGCCAACTCGTCATTAGAGGTTTCTTTGATGCGTGATAAAATTCCAACTCTCGAACGACAAGTGAGAGAAAATTCCTCAACTTTACTATGATATCGTGAGCGCTTAGATCAAATTGATGAATCACTAGCTAGAAACACGGTGAAGATTACGGACCTTGAAGCGCAACGTGGCTCGCATGCACTGGGGTCGAATAAAGCCATACACAGCTACAATGGTACGTTACTTTGGAAAATAGATAACTACAATAGGAAAAGACAGGACGCCATTAATGGTATCAAAACAGCATTGTACAGTGCACCATTCTACAGTTCTCAATATGGTTACAAGATGTGTGTAAGATCTATATGAATGGTGATGGTTTTGGAAAGGGAACTCATTTATCTTTGTTCTTTGTTGTCATGAAAGGTAAAAGCATTTCAGTATTTTTAATCTCTACCGCCTTAAGTTTGTCGGGGGCCTTGTGTTGCAGGTTACATTTCAATATTTTCTCGTCAAATGACTCTGAAGATGACTACCGCTAAGGTTGTAGTAACGTCAGTCAACAACAACAATAACAGGACTATACCAACCTGGACGATATACATTTAGAAACATGTAGCGATACTCCCGGTTTCAAACCACTTACTTTTTTACAATATCTATGTAATAATCTAAGATTAAACAAGATGCCAACTCAGGCGAGTAAGAACAATTCAAACCAAACCCAACACCGTCACTTGTAGGCAAACTTAACAGCAAGATCTTCTCTATGAGAAAATCTTCAACAGATTATATGTAGCATATGAATTTATGAATATGAGTTTTTTGCCAATTATTAATCTGCCGCTGTCCATTAGTAAGCAAAACTGTCAGTTGTATCACAATTACTTAGAGAAAGATAATTAGTTTTTTGGTTTAATTTTTTCCAGCTGAAAGCAGAGTTAGGATGTATTTTGGAGAAGAGTGATGTTGTGCAAGATATGAAGGAACGATGGAATTTGCACAGATATAAAATGCTGTCTGCTATTAAAAATACAAAGCAAAAGAATGTCAGCACTATCCTTGAAGAGCTGGAGGATTTTCGAGTTGAAGATGAGAAAGGTTGGTGTAAAAATCAATAAGTTAAAATCCCTATTTATACTGAAGTGTTAATGCTTTAGAGAGTGATAATGGTAATATATTCATTCTATGCTATGTTGATTATTTTAGAGGTGAAGAACCGGTGTATAATGGCATGTTTGCCTTTTGTGTTAGATGACCAACGCACCCATCGAGATATGAACAAAAAGCTATTTTGGGACATTGTTGATGTAAGAGTTGGTATTGTCACAAATAATATTTTCTGCATAAATGTGTGAAAAAATTGATGAATAATTTTATCTCTGTTGAAGGGTTAAAGATTAGGGGAAGTTCAAGAGATCATTAACAAAAGTTCGTCTCCTAGACTCCTATCAACAGGAACGTTAAGAAACATTCATTCAATAATGTTGGTGGCTGAGGGGATGATTGTGGCAAAGCTGAAAACGGAAAATATTGTCAATGCAGTTATTATTTTACTTAGTTCTTTTTATACTTTTAATGCTGAGTATCCTAAAGGTGTTAATGGACATGGCAAAAATGTATTTATTCTTTTAGAACATTTGCTTTTAAATTCGAGTGGCAATTGTAAGGCTCAATTGCCAACTTTTGTCGATAATTTTATTTCTTCTATGAAGTAGAAAACTTTTGTAGTGTTAATTAATGGCATGTAGTAGAGGTTTTAAGTATTCTGTGTTTGCAAAAAATGTGCTATTTCTAATTGTGTGATTGATTTTCTTTAGCTTAGTTAAAAAGATCCTCTATATTGGTCAAATGGTCATGGATATGCACCTGAAAAAAATGCTTATTTAATGGTAAAAACAACCAAATAAAATTGGTCAAATAAATTGGTAAATTTACCATTTTGTTTTGGTATTTTGACCAATTTAGGAATTGGTTGTTTTGACCTATAAAAGACATCGTTCAATATCTTCACGACACCATGACCTTCCGCAGCTCCTTTTGCAATTGTCCAATTCACGATGGAGCCACATTTTATTAAAATCTTCACAGCACTTTAAAAGAAAGAAACAGAAATAAGGAAAATACACGTTGATGATGTAGCGATTTCTACTGTAGTCTTCTGTTTGTACGTAACATATTATAAATAACAAAATTGTGTTATTGTCTTCAATGTTCTTTTAACTGAACTACAAGACCAACTGTGGACTATGATGATATTTCAAAACACAGTTCTAGTTTCTTTCATACTTCAATATCATACACAATAACATCACGTTGTTGTGATGTACTCAGGTATAGTAACAAGATAATCATTCTCTTCAATGTCTGCCAACTGAATACAATACCAACTGTAGACTATGATGATATTTTAAAATACAGTTCTAGTTTCTTTCATATCTTTAATATCATAGATAATAACATCACGTTGTTGTGATGTACTCAGGTATAGTAACAGGATAATCATTCCCTTCAATGTCTGCCAACTGAACTACAATACTAACTGTAGACTGTGCTGATATTTCAAAAGACAGTTCTAGTTTCTTTCATATCTTAATATTATACGTAAATAATAACATCACGATGTTGGGATTTATTCAGGTATCGTAAAAAAGGGGTTTTTCCATAAGACATCACTTAAAAATTAAAAACTCTGAAAATACATACTCCTCTTGTTCTATCCCAACCAAGGACTCGCCGTCAACCTCAATGATTTGGTCACCGGGACTCACACGGCCATCCTAAAACACAAAGAAAACAAAAATTATCAATTTATCCAATAAAAAGAATTCTTAAAAATGTCCAAAACATCAATCGACGTACCACAGCAGCTGGTCCATTGGCAATAACCTCTTTAACGTTTATACCAGATTTTCCCTGACCGCCGCCCTGAAATATAATGCGTTTTTTTGGATATGCAGGACTAACTCTTTTCCTGGATTTTTACTAACGAGAGGACTTGGGTTGGTACACATAGTTTTGATTCATACTCCTTCAACGATTGTACAACCATCAAGAGCAGGGAGAGGGGAATTTTGGGACCAATACCAGCCTGATAATGCCAGGGGGAGATAGACTAGGGGCATTACAAACTTAATGATAGCCGCGGCGGGAGAAGAAGTAAAGAAATTGAAGATTTTCACCTTAGCAGCTACGATGCTGACGCCCATTCCCTTGTTTCCTTTATTTAAAGTAATTTTAATAGTCTACAAAATAAACAACATAAAAACCGTTAAATTAATTGAAGATAAAATCCCCTGGATTTAAGATTCAATCCATGGCTTTAGGTCCGTGACATAGGATTGAGCCTATGGAGAGAGATTTTTCATTCAGCCCAAAGAATGTACATAATCTTTCACAATTAGATCATTCACACAAAATATCCAATTCCATGATTTAAAATTGAGTCGCATGGAGCCCGCGAATGAAAAATTCGAATCTACACTTACGCAATTAAAAATTTCGCCACATGATTTAAACATAATCCCAAGGTTTGTAAGAGTTATTCACATGATATAAAACTTAATCCTGTGATTAAGGATTATAAGTTCAAGATAAAGACATACGTATACTGTAAACAAACCTCTAAAGGAGGACCCTCGGTTACTAAAAATTCAAAGAGAAAGAAAATTGTCGTGAGCAAACATAAAATCATCTTTTGAAAAACAAATGAACATCATGGAGCAAATTTACCTTCAACAGCCTCAAAATGAACTGTCCAGTATCCGGATGCCTTTGGTTGGATTGTAAGTTTGCATAAACCTTTAGAAGGGACAATGAGGAGCAATGAAGAACATTACGAGATTTAGAAATAACTACGTATAACATGGGCGAAAGAGCTAGGGTTAACATCAGTATTATGATGAATATGTAAATAGGGCAATTTAGAGCAATGAGGAACATGATGAATATGTATGTATAAAATTCGAAGTATAACTGATCAGCAATTGTGTCATTTTTCTTATATCAAGTATTGAGTTGGTAATGAACCTTTTGGAAGATTTTTTATTTCATAAAAATTATATATTTTAACTACAGTCAAATTAAATTATTTTTGCTAAGGATAGGTAAATTTTCCATGAAAAGTTTTAATCTAGAAAGAAACTTCTACGAAAGCTCTTCTTTATATGTTTTATATGTTTTAAAATTTTGGAAAACATTGCAGGAAAAACATCGGAAAGCATGAATAAAACTGGTAAAAGGAAACTTGATCGTTTCTCGATGAATTCGGCGGGTCGAAACACGAGGATTGAGATTATCCAATCCAGCTACCTGGGGCAATTAGAGGAGAAAGGAACTCCTAACTCCTTCAATCCTGGTGGCACGCCGCAAGTATTCTCGACGAAATAACTATCGTCAGGAAGTAAGAATGGTAATTGTAGTTCCGATTCTTCTTCAAGATTTACTTCATCTCCATCAATGCGGGCGCTCTGGTCAGCGGTTCTCTCCGCAATACTAACTGCTTTTTCGATGAGGTCCAAAGAAACGGGAGGCTTGTCCCTCTCTGGCTGATAAAAGTCCAAAAGTTGACGTATTTGAAGTGAGTTGAATTTGAAGCAATTTGATGCGATGTTTGCCGAATCTTGCTTCAGCATTTGTAGTAGCAATGATGCCTGGTGGTGGAAGGATAAACAAGGATTAACATACATAGTATATTATATGATGTATAGTATATTGTGTGATGATCGCGGACGGGATTCATTATGTAGTACACTACTTATAACAGACTGTCAAAGTAATAGATACAGGGGGTCGTTACAAAAGAAAGGTGAGGGACAGGGAGACCATTTAAGAACAATGCTAATGGGTACAAGGGATCATTTAAGAACAATGCTAATGTACACAAGGGATCATTTAAGAACAAAGGTAACGGTTACAAGGGATCATTTAAGAACAGTGCTAATGTATATAAGGGATCATTTAAGAACAGTGCAAATGTATACGATGGATCATTTTTTAGAGCAAAGGTATTGTTCACCAAAATGTCTCTACACTGATGAGCAAAGGTATTGTTTATTAAATGTCTCTACACCAATGAGCAAAGGTATTGTTCACCAAAATGTCTCTACACCGATGAGCAAAGGTATTGTTCATCAAAATGTCTCTACGCCGATGACCAAAGGTATTGTTCACCAAAATGTCTCTAAGTTAATGAGCAAAGGTATTGTTCACCAAAATGTCTCTACGTTGATGAGCAAAGGTATTGTTCACCAAAATGTCTCTACGCCAATGAGCAAAAGTATTGTTCACCAAAATGTCTCTATACCGATGAGCAAAGGTATTGTTCACTAAAATGTCTCTACGCCAATGAGCAAAGGTATTGTTCACCAAAATTTCTCTACGTTGATGAGCAAAGGTATTGTTCACCAAAATGTCTCTACGCCAATGAGCAAAGGTATTTTTCACCAAAAGGTCTCTACACCGATGAGCAAAGGTATTGTTCACAAAATGTCTCTACGCCAATGAGCAAAGGTATTGTTCATCAAAATGTCTCTACGCCAATGAGCAAAGGTATTGTTCACCAAAATGTCTCTACACTGATGAGCAAAGGTATTGTTCACCAAAATGTCTCTAAGTTGATGAGCAAAGGTATTGTTCATCAAAATGTCTCTACGCCAATGAGCAAAGGTATTTTTCACCAAAATGTCTCTACACCGATGAGCAAAGGTATTGTTCACCAAAATGTCTCTACGCCAATGAGCAAAGGCATTGTTCATCAAAATGTCTCTACGCCGATGACAAAAGGTATTGTTCACCAAAATGTCTCTAAGTTAATGAGCAAAGGTATTGTTCACCAAAATGTCTCTACGCCGATGACCAAAGGTATTGTTCACCAAAATGTCTCTAAGTTAATGAGCAAAGGTATTGTTCATCAAAATGTCTCTACGCCGATGACCAAAGGTATTGTTCACCAAAATTTCTTTACGCCAATGAGCAAAGGTATTGTTCACCAAAATGTCTCTACGCCAATGAGCAAAGCTATTGTTCATCAAAATGTCTCTACACTGATGAGCAAAGGTATTGTTCACCAAAATGTCTCTACGTTGATGAGCAAAGGTATTGTTCATCAAAATGTCTCTACACCGATAAGCAAAGGTATTGTTCACCAAAATGTCTCTACGTTGATGGGCAAAGGTATTGTTCATCAAAATGTCTCTACGCCAATGAGCAAAGGTATTGTTCACCAAAATGTCTCTACACTGATGAGCAAAGGTATTGTTCACCAAAATGTCTCTAAGTTGATGAGCAAAGGTATTGTTCATCAAAATGTCTCTACGCCAATGAGCAAAGGTATTTTTCACCAAAATGTCTCTACACCGATGAGCAAAGGTATTGTTCACCAAAATGTCTCTACGCCAATGAGCAAAGGTATTGTTCATCAAAATG